CCCCCTCCCCCCCCCCCGCCCCCCCCCCCCCGCCCCCCCCCCCCCCCCCCCCCCCCCCCCCCCCCCCCCCCCCCCCCCCCCCCCCCCCCCCCCACAATTTCTATATATAAAAAAAATCAACCAACCAAGAAGCCAAGTACCTAACATAAGGCAGGGGATAAGGCGGGGCTAGAGACGGCTTTTGTACCTGCCGTACGCTAGATGTACCTAAGGTGACTGTACCCAGGTAGGGAAGCTGTAAGCTGTACCTAGTGGGTGGTTCGCGTCTTCTGCAAAGCCTTACACGCGATTCATGCATCTTTTCAGCCTTTAACTGTATTGTTAGGATGACCTACATATGCACTTTCCAACGTCGGATATCATACCTCTTTCCAACTTTCTAAGGTTTAGGTACCTGTAAGTTCTTTGATACCGCATAAGCGATCAATCACCTTATTAACTTCAATTTTACATCAAACTCCGGTTGCCTGGGTTAGAATTAGGTACATACCTGATATTCGCAAATAAATCTGAAGACTACCTAAAATAAATATATCAATCAAACCTTTGGCCGGTATGCGATATTCCTATTTCTAATTTCATCAGCGCAACAGGCGCAAACTGGCAAGATGGCATTCTCCGCCATCAACGTCGAACCCGAGGAGAACATTGACGAAGAGATCGATGATACCCGCGAAATTCAGATCGACGAAGCTTTGAAACGCTTCCAAACTGCTCTTAAGCTTCATGCGCAAGGCCCCAAGCACTACGAAGAAGCATCGTCGGCATACGAATTGTTGTTTGAATCTGATATATTTCGATACCCTGAAAGTTCCACCGACTTTGAGCGCGCCGAACGCCAGTCCGATCCCCGAAATCTCGGCGTCGATGCCCCATTCCCTCAACCACTTGATATCACCCAAGGAGACATAGACGGCAGTGGTAGCAGCTTACCCCAGACTCTTTACCTCGCTTATAAGAATCATGGCCAGTTTGCCCTAGACAACATTAGACATTTGGTTAAGGCCGCAGGAGATGCCGCATCCGTGCTCAAAGATAAGCAGGTGCTCGAAGCCGCTCAGAAGGCCCTTTACGAATTTAGTACAGCCCTAGACTTCGATCCGTCGGATGCCGAATTATGGAGAAGGGCCGCGCGCGTTGCAGCGTTCCTGAACAGCGCCAGGATCAGTCGATATTGTCTCGAGGCCGCCATTGAACTTGATGATGATCCGGCTGTGGATGAAGTTGAGCCGCCCTCTTTAGCCGAGGGGTTCGCCGGCGAGCAATTGAAGAAGCAACTCGATGTCTTGTCCGACGATCTAGCCCTGTCGCATCCGATCATGACTCCGTTTATAAATAAGTCGATACCGGAGCGTCTTAAGAAGCACCTCGATCCCTTTCCATTCCTCCCCAATCCTACCGACTCGCTCGCGTCCCTAAATGCTGCCGCCTTGACGGACCAGTCTGCACCCCGGCGACTTGTCATTTGTGTCCCTACAGCTTCGTGGACGGATTTGGGAATGTCGCTTGTCAAGTTAGTCGCAGCGAGTGGTATATCCGGAGAGGCGGTTACTCTGAGTCTTCCAGATATACCAGACGTAGAATCCGATGTTGAAATGCTCAGCAACAAGCCGAACCTGTCCTTACCACAGAAGAATGGGACTGTCCAGCCGCCCCCTGAAAATAAGGGACTAGTACAGCCTAAATATGACCAGAGCGATTCTCCAAAGGAAGGCGTCGTCGGCAATGGCACCGCTGCCGAAGATGCGCGGGGTGAACGTAGCGCTTCTGTCCTTTCGAGAAAGCGTTCGCAATCTACGGCGGGGTTTCCCGAAGCAATCGACGAAGAAGTGACAGATCAGAAGAGGAGTAAGCGTATTCGACGCCGAGAAACTGCTGGAGAGGTCATGGATACAAATACCCAATACGCTACTCAGTTACAGCCATTCCAGGCTGCCGACCAGAACCTCTTCCAAATGACGCGCAATATGATAGAAAACTTAGGAGTCACCGACCGTGACACTCTCGATCGAGTGGCTGAGGTTATTGACTCTTGCGCGTCTTCTACTCGGACTGCTAAGCTTGAACGGCCGGCTATGGTTGATCTGCGCAATTCTCTCATCAAATTCGACGAGGAGAGTACTAGAGTAGTTTTTAATAAGAAGGAGGCTTCGTCTGTAGGATTCTCGTCCTTCCTCGAGCACTCAAAGCCTGGATCTCAAAATAAGCGCGAGACGCCCATGTTCCACGAGACCAGGGGCTTGAAGGCCTTCGTCCAAAGTGTCAACGACGGCTGGATAGGAATCCAAGACGTCGCTTTCGAGTGGGTCAAGCACGTTTGCACGACTTATCTCACAAGCAAGTGGTCGGACTCCATGAAGACTGCAGTTGTTCAAGTGATCAGCCATCTCGACGAGGATATCTGGAATCGTATGCAGTACGAACTCGAATGTCATACCGCGTCTAAAGATCCAGCCGCGACATTGGCTACGATTGATCAAATAGTCCAGATGCTATTCGAACTGCACTTGGACGTATACGAACGGATCAATAACCCAAATAGCGCCGTAGACTATGCCATTCGTGTGGAGACTAAAGGAAGATTGGGACGCTGGTTCACGCTTGCCTCACAAATGAGCCGATGTCGTCCTGAAAATGCGGATCGACTGCTATCCCTCCGATTCCTATGGTCGGCCGTCTTCGCCGTTACTCTGACGGAGGGTGTATCGAGAGATCATGTCCTGCAATGCTGGAAGAGCCTGCGTGATAGGCTCAGCGAAGAAGAAGAGCCTTTCGATGTTCGGCTGCCAAACAATGCGATTATGCCAGAAGTCTCTGCCCGTGCGGCCGATAGAGAAATATCCAAGCTTACAACCATGGATTTCTTCCTTGGCTTATTCCAGAACGATCTTAGCAACCCCGTTTCTATCATCGAGAGCCTGGAGCCGGTCCTGAACCCCTCTTCCGTTTATATAGCAGCAAATGATCCTGAAGCTATGGCGCTCGACGAAGATCCCCCGGCACCGACGGCTATCGGTAAGAGTCTACCCATCTCAAAGGCTGCAGATCAAGGTCTCCGTGATCTCTGGAAGTTTTTGTTAGGAGCAAGCACTGAATTGAGATTGTTCTTGTGGACACGCCTCGGGGAGGCCTATAACGCTATTGACTACACAACGAAACAATTCTCGTGCTTTCTCAAAAGTATCGAGATGGTTGTGGGCGACTTCGAGCAAGATTCTTATTTGAACATGCCTGCCGAAGCGCGCCACGCTCTCTTCCTGAAGATGCTTAGATTTCTAGACGAATTGTTAATCCAGTCGCTTTCGATGGCGCTTAACGATGCTACAGCGTTTGACATTATAGACGACGAGCACCTAAGGTCTAGCATTTCGGCTTTGACGAAACTTTCCTGCTTGCTACACGTATCTTGTATGTATGAAGACGAGGTACGAGTAGGGATGAAGCAGCACGTTTCGAGCGGCGCAACCTTCCAGTCTTTCTTGACAAAGCTTCGCGAGATGCAAGTTAGGAACTGGTCTCTGCTGTATACGATGCTGAAGGCTGGTATTTCACAGAACAGGGCAGGCTTCACCACTCCTGACAGCGATCTTGCGGATTATCTAGCGGCTATTCATCAAGTTCTAGGTCTCAGAAAATTCTGCAAGGCGTCTAATAAGATCTTCCTCAAAATGATGCGGGTTGAGCTTTTGAAGCAGAACCTCATAGACAACTGGGAGGATTACCTCGGTCAGGTCCTTTACGATCTTTACGGCTTGAAGCTTGGAGTAGGCCTTAGCGAAGTGCAAGACCACGGATGCCCCCCTGAAAAGCTCGAGCGACGTAATACGACAGCGCTGGTAGAGAGGATATCCGTCCTGGCTAACCGCATGCCGATGAAAGACCTACTGAAATCGGATCTGAAAACGACGATAGAGCACATGCAACAAGCTATTGGGCAAACTAAATCGAATCAGCAGTTCATACAAAATCTCAGGATCTTTAACCAAACTCTACAGCGACCCATCCCACCACTTCGCTTATACGAAGCCCTCAAAGGTAATATATCCATCGACGCGGTTACGGTTAACACCCCGGATAGCGCCCTGGCTAAACACGGATGGTTCTTCCTCCTGGGCATGATCGCGTTCACTAAGTTCAAAGGCGTGGATCTCAATAGGAGGCAGACGCCAGGCGCTACTGACGACCTTCGCATCGGCGCCACCTTTCTACGCCAGCAGCTACAGTTCACCCCCGATCAATGGGATGCTTGGTTTAGACTTGCGGAGTGCTTTGATTACGAGCTCGACGAGTCTGTTCTCTGGACGGCAGATAAGATGAACAAGGAGAGAGCAGAACTAGTGAAGTATCAACGAAGCGCAATCCACTGCTACACCCTCGCATTATCGCAATCTCGAAACACGCCACCTGATGCGCTCAGCGAACGTTCCGATGACATTCACGACCTATATCATAAATTCGGTATGCGTATGTATGCCTCCAGCCGAGAGCCGTTCGCGATGGAGCCCTTCCACCACTCTGAACACAAAAGATTCGTTATCCTCGAATCCGGGGTCGAGTCGAAGGATCTTCACTCTCAAATGGAAGACTACAAAGTATGGAAGTATGCTGCTAGACTATTCGCCAAAGCCATGGAGGTCAAGCCGAAGCAGTGGCAGTAAGTATACCTTGGGTAGCTAAGAGATGCGCTTTAGACTAACATTCTATAGGAATCCATACATGGTGGCTAAGTGTATCTGGAAGATGTATCAGAAACCGCCGACATCGCTCGATCATAGGGACAGACGAGATCGGCCTACTATGCAAGCTGTTATCAACGCCCTCGAAAAGGCTGTCGAGGTCGTATCCGCGCTACCAAAGCCGCGTCACGGCCAAGATCCAATTCTAGAGCCCCATTACAAGATCGTTTCGATCATACACAAGCTGGTGACACGAGGAGACATGACACCGCAAGCGGCAGCTGACGTACTCCAGCGCCAGCCATACGCAATTCAAGACGGGGAACACATCGAGATTTCGGAGCCAGAAGACTGGGAGCCATACGTAATTAAGACGCTCACTCATCTGCGAGAGAAAGACAGATCAAATTGGCAACACCGCATTATCATGCGCCATGCCCGAATACTGTTTGACGAGAACTCGGAAGAGCAGAGCTACGTGCAGGCAGTGGCTGCTTTTGGCGTGCTAAGGGAGTCGATGCTAACCAAGACCATGGTGTTGAACGTATGGAAGTGCGATGCGGAGCGACCAGGTCGACATCACGTCTACACGGAGCAGTATGTTCGATTTGCTGTTAAGCTCTTAGTCGTCCTAAAGGACAGGACCAACTTTGAAGCTTTACTTCGCCGTTTACGCAAAAAAGGGGCGGACTTTTATCATTTCAACGATCTTTGGCAGACTTGTTGCATTGCGTATTTACGACTTATCCGACAGACGTATCAGATTTCGCCGGTACTTGAAGACGATTTCAAACAGATTAGCCCTGACGAGTTTGATATCATCACTTCCAGGATTAGTGAATGGTCCTCGGATCCGTCTTCGTCTCACCCCGCGCTCAGCGCTTTGCAAGAGACAATAGAACTGAAAAAGCTCAATGCGGGTTTGATGAAAGCCGGTGCCATCGATGATCTAATTAGTGACTGCTATACGGCGTTGTATTCCGAGATCGGAAAGACTTTACCTGGCCCTCCCGTGTCTACCTTAATTGCGGAGAGGGAACAAGCGCGCCAGCGAGAGGAATCTCGGTCTGCCGATAAGCTGGCTGTGGGAGAATCTAAGCTGACCAACTCCTTGAGCAGCCTCTTGAACCCACAGTCGCACGAGAATTCAGGCGCAGAGGGCGCGACTGGAGATTCTGCACCAGCGAATGCGGAAGGGCCTCAACGACCTCGCAAAGTCGGAATTAGGAGAGCTGATATTCTACGCAAGGCTGAGCAAGCAGTTGTGCGCGCTCAGGAAGGACCGAAACCTACCAGTACTAAATCTCGAGGCTCTGTCTCGAGCAGTAAGACACCCGCAGCAGAGGAAGGGAAACAGGACGATGCAGTTGACGACTTAAGGAGCGACGACGGCGCTCCCGAAGATGACGTGGAGATGAAGGATGAGGAGGGCGAGGGCGAGGGCGAGGGTGAGGACGAGGGCGATTTGAGCTCGGCGCCCGGAAGCGTCCATGACTCTGCCGATGATGAGAGCGACTTAAGCGACGCGCCACCGGAAGACGTGCTAGATGAAGATGAGCTGAGGCAGCTAATGTTCCCAAATCTGACACGGAGGAGTCTCGACACAACCGTGGAGAATTCAGACACGGAGTCCCGCGGTGAAGATTCATCCGATGAAGAGGCTCAAGAAGCCGAATAGTAAGTGGATTAAAACTACCTAACCTAACCTAGGTAGGCTTACGTGTATTATATGCTATATGCCACCTGTAGAAAATCTTGTGGGTGACAAAATGCGTGTGGATTAAATTACGGTTATTCGTTTGGGTACCGGAGTTAGACCAGCGGTTTGCTAGATGCATTATTAGGTTTCCCCTGGAATTTAAAGAGTTGTACAAAGATGGTGATGCTAGTAGGGGTGATTTGTATTACCAAAGTCTTTGAAACGGAATTGCGTATAAAACGGCTATGAAGCTCCTTTTTCATGCTTGCCCTATCGTTAAGGTTAAAGCAATACGCAACTTACGAGCTTAGGAGGTATGGTAGATACCCAATTTTCTAAGTCAAAAACATTCACGACTCGAAAGACGAAAAATACTGTGTCTAGGTAATCTCGGAAATAAAGGTCAAATTTCAAGTTATTTAATTATAAATTATAATTATTCAATATTCAATATTTCATTGGCTATCCTGTACCATACACCCCGTCGTTCGTATGTGGGCTATATACATCTTCGCAGTGCTTGATTATAACTTCGTTCCATTAGTTGAAGTAAGCACTATTGATACGGAGCGGTTGTTGCGTTGTGACTGGTGAGTCTAAGCTCAGATACTCTGGGTGGACGAAGTGCTATTTTTTCCTCCTTCTTTTCTTTCCTTGTTCACTTCATTTCGTTGCCTTAGGTCAACAACTCAGTGTCCTGCAAACAACTCCTACCACAACTTTACTTTTTTTTTTTTTTTTTTGGCGAGACCAGAAACAGTTCCCTAACCTGAAAGTAACGCAACAAAGACATTGTGCTTTGTTGTTTTCGTACGACTAAGGAAGAGAGTCAGGCTTCACTTTTTTTTCCGTTCAATATTTAAATGTGTTCTATCCGCATGCTGATGGTCCTCAAATCCTTGCAGTTTTTGCAGTCTTTACCTAATCTACCTACCTAACCTGGGGTACCTTGCCTAAACCATCGACTCCTGCTGGTTTCTACTTACAGATCTCGAGATCGAGGTTTAAGCTTTTGGACGATTTTAAGAGGGTATTCGCATAGGTGCATAAGTGCATAAGTCGCCTAGGCATCTCGAGGTTACAGCGTACCCGCATACGGGCAGTGTGCCTTTCCGCCGCATTCGTACCTGAAAAGTGATATGTACCTAGGTACCTAAAGGTAAGATCGATACATATTTGCAAGATGACTCCACTTTTTTATTCACTTTTATTATGGGGACCCGTAGTAACTGACATAACTGGGTGAATATTCTACAGGCATCTGCATTTGCATCGCGTCTTTCTTTTACCTTCTTCACCTTTGTGCCGGAAAGGTCACTTTTTTTTTTTCTTGCCTCTTACCTCTCACCTCTCACCTGCCACCTCAACAAACAATAAAAAAAGAAAAGGACGTCACGACAAGAATCAATCAATCCATCTATCGCTATCTTGTCATAATGGCGACCGTGGCGCCTCGTCCGGAATCCGACTTTTCCACTCCCGGACACGCCCTCCCCGATCAGACCCAAACTCAGACCCAGACCGAAGGAGAATACAAGCAAAATCTGAATCAGCGACTTCGTTGCCCCGACTGCAATGAAGATCCCCCGAATCTAGTTGAAGAGTTCTCATCGGGAGATATGGTCTGTGGTTCCTGCGGGCTGGTCCTTGGTGATCGCATCATCGACACACGATCCGAGTGGCGTACCTTTGCCAACGATGATCAAGGCAACGATGATCCTTCTCGTGTCGGTGACGCCATGAATCCCCTCCTGAACGGCTCCCAGCTCGAGACCAACATTGGCTTTGGTGAAGGCATGCGCGCGCGAGAGCTACACCGTGCCCAGAACCGAGTTACCAACGACAAGGCCACGAAGACCCTCTTGGCTGCTTACCGTGAGATTACTCAGCTCTGCGATGCTATCCATATCCCCAAGGCCACCCAGGATTCTGCGAAGCATATATTTAAGATGACTGAGGACAAGAAGGTGTTTAAGGGCAAACCGCAAGAGGCTGTTATCGCAGGTTGCATATTCATAGCGTGTCGACAGTCTAAGGCACCTCGCACATTTCGTGAGATCTACTCTCTAACCAGGGTCTCCAAAAAGGAGATCGGAAGGACTTTCAAAACGTTGGAGAAGATGTTGCAAACCAGCCGTGACGAAAATGTTACCGGATCATTCCTCATGGTCGAGAACTACGAGGCTACCGGAACCACTGGCGCGGCCGAGCTGTGTGCTCGATACTGCAACAACCTGCAGTTTAAGAACCCCCATCTCATGGAAAAGATCTCCAAGGTCTTGGCCGAGAAGAGTTCTTCCCTCAAAGATCTTGCTGGCCGATCCCCTCTTTCGATCGCTGCCGCTTCGATATACATGGCATCTCATCTTATGGGTGACCCTAAGACGTCTCGAGATATCGCCGCCGTAGCTGGCGTGAGTGATGGCACTATCAGGACGGCTTATCGACATATGTATCCGTCTCGCAAGGAGCTGATCGAGAAGGAATGGGTTTATCCGATAGGTGCTGGTCGTATGGATAACCTTCCTACGAACTAAATAGCGGAGGATTCGTTGTCCAACTGACAAGCAAGTCAAATTTGGTACAGCTTATTAGGTGTGCCTGGAAATTGTGGGTGACTCTACGGTGACCAGCACATGCGCCGCCTACTTAGCAAAATCTGGTTACGGGATTTTCGGATCTCTTTGGCACGCACCGTCCTTTGCAGTTTTGACTGGCCTTGTTGGTCGGTTTATAATATTTTCTCGATGTCCCAATCGGGATAAACTTCCGTACGCGGAAGGAGGAAACGTACTCGCCGTTTGGGTGATTTCCATAGGCCGGTACCAGTTTCTTAGTGTTGGTTTTTACGCGGTCTTGCTCTTGAGATATAGAGCTCGTGCGTTTATACTTGATGCAGGCATGCTTAAGATCGACTTGCGGTTCTTCGACGCTTGGTCGACGAAGGTTGCGATACGAAATTGATCATGGTCGGCAATACTTTTTTGGTGTTTTTGTTTTCAAGACTACCTAAGGCATGGCGCGCGCATGGTAGCGGGTGGTAAATTGTGTTATTATGGATAATGCTAGGTTGACCTTTTACGATTCTTAGAGTTTAGGGATCGTAGATGCAATCGAAAGCATTTCCATAGGACTAACTATTTGATTTTTCTCTCTTCTCTTTTTTGATACGTACTACGCCTGAAGGAGAAACCTGACAAGTTTCTAATTTGATGATGCATACGGAGTGTGTGGTACGTAAGGTGAGGTTTGTTCTTTTTTCCCTAACAATGAGATACCCAATTACCTTTTCCCTCATCTTTCTTTTAACTTGGTACCTAAGATCCAACGAGTATATCGTCTCCTCACAGATTGTAGACGGTATATCTAAAAGTGAAAAGGAGAAGAAGGGAGAAAAAAAAAAAAGAGAAATTTAATATAAAAAAAATTAACAATTTTGGAAATTTGCCAGTTTACCAAGCCCATCCCATATCTTATGGACTTTGACAATACCTCTTTCTCATGTCCCAGTCCCTGCACTTATATCCGTCTAGTGTCAAAAGGCACGTAATGGGAATTTGTTGATTGCAACCTTGAACCCGAAGATGCGAGTAGTGTGGAACTAGCAGAAGCTACCTACCTTAGGTACCTGGTACTCGGTTGATAATAGTCCGGCAATGTGGAGAAATTCCGATCCCGCCTCGGCCATTACACGGCATGCATAGGTATATCATGTATAAATTGTGCAGCCGTTGACCCTTCCTCTTTGTTTGCTTCGTTGCCTTTTACCTGCCGTCTTTCCGTATGCTAAATACCTTATCTTCCCGAGTCGCGGCTCCTACTCGTCGGTACTCTCTCCAATTTAAAAGTTATCTCTCATCGTCGAACAACAACAACATCATGAAGCTCCTCTACCCCACATCCCTCAAGCTCGACGTCAAGAGCCTCGAAGGCTTCGCCCCCTCCCTGCACCCGTACGACGTCAAGGCGCCGATCCCCGAGGACCTCGTGGACGCCGAGATCCTCGTGTCCTGGACCAACAGCGCCGAGAACCTCGCCGACGCCGCGCGCCGCATGAAGAACCTGCGGTGGATCCAGTCCCTCGCCGCGGGCCCCAACGACATCCTAGCCGCGGGCTTCCCCGCCCACGTCCTCGTGACCACGGGCTCGGGCCTCCACGACCGCACCGTCGCCGAGCACGCCCTGGGCCTCCTGCTCACCGCCGCCCGCCGCTTCGACCAGATGCGCGAGTTCCAGCTGCGCAGGGAGTGGCCGGCGCATCTGGGCGGCGCCCAGCCCGACCGGCCCGCGGACAGGTTCACGACGCTGCGCGACGCCAACGTGCTGGTCTGGGGCTACGGCAACATCGCGCGGACGCTGGCGCCGCACCTCGCGGCCCTGGGGGCTAGGGTGCGCGGGGTCGCGCGGTCCGCGGGGGTGAGGGACGGCGTCGAGGTGTTCGCCGAGGATAGGCTGCCGGAACTACTGCCGACGACGGACGCGCTGGTTATGATTCTCCCGGGGTCGGAGAGCACGACGGACGCGCTGAATAGGGAGCGGTTGGCGCTGCTGCCGGCCCACGCGTGGGTTGTGAATGTGGGGAGGGGCGTGAGCATCGACGAGGAGGCGCTGGCGGACGCGCTGGAGGAAGGCAGGTTGGGGGGCGCGGCGCTGGATGTGTTTAAGAAGGAGCCGCTGCCGAAGGAATCCAGGTTGTGGGGCGCGCCGAATCTGCTGGTTAGTCCGCATGCGGCGGGGGGCAGGCCGCAGGGCGCGGAGGAGCTGATCGCGTATAATTTGAGGAGGTTCTTGGCCGGGCAGGAGCTGAAGAACTTGGTATGAGGGGGGTTGAGTGTTGTTGAATGGAGAGGGTGGAATAGGGGGTAGAGTCTGTCCGCGGGGAGGGAGATTCGACTCCCTGAATTCTAAGGCCAGGCCTTATCTTATGATCCCGATCTTCCTGTTGCTTGGAGCTTACGACGAAGCATGTGTTTAAGAGTACCTAATGCAATGCGGAAGATCATATTATAGAAAGCGAGTGATTATTATTAGATATTGGAAAAATATACTTGCTTCTTGATCAGTCCAGCCGAGAAGTTCATGTCCCAGGTTTGTTCAAGGTAGGTAGGTAGTATGTGATGTACTGCAGCTGTAGCGCAATGAAGTGCTATTCATCCTAGTTTCCCTAATACGAGAATCGATGGCATGTTGCTTTGGCTGTGTGTACCTCCTAACGTAACCTCTTGCCGGTAAAAGTTGGTTGCTCAACTAACTTACTACTACTCTCGCCGAGACGCAAATAGGTAACCCACACAGACCGCTCTAGATATTGCTACATAACCTACAGTACTAGAAGGACTTGTTGATGAATACATAAGTACCTAGACCTAAGTTAACATATCTCAAATGAGCGGTATAACTCTAATTACCTGTTATATTCAATACACCTACTGCCGTGGGTAGAATTTGTCAGGTAGTTATCTAGAAGCAATGCCAAGTACCTAACCTAGACATCAAGAACATAACAGAGTCGTATCTAGTAATGAAGTAAAAATACTACGTAGGTACTCTATAGTTCCAGGCCAGAATTTCCGTATAAGGTACCTTAGGTAGGTAGGTACGAATACGATAGTTAGGTAGATAGGTTGAAATGCGAGGATGACAGACAGCCCTCGAATGCATATTTCTGAATCCATTCTCATCCAAGGGATAACTCGTAACAAGTAGGGCAGGTTAGGTACCCATTACCTATAGGCAGTTAACTCGAAGCTTAAACCCAACCGGCCCCTTTTCTCTAGCTCCCCCTCTACCCCTTTTAAGTTAGGTACCTATACGGTTGATACCTAGTATTCGTAGGAGACTTTCTGTTGAAAGATACCTAATAAGACAGGACTGTTCATGTCCGTAAGGTAGAGGTAGATAGAAAGATACAACAAGTCCCTGGGTTGTGTGCGGGAGTTCTAGGTATCAGAGAGGACTGGAGAATACGAATGGCACGGCACGGAAAGGCCTATCTGTAATAATGCCGCGGCTGTCGTTACTGTTTACCCTTTGATCAGCTGTTAATCAATCCGACGTCTTGTGGATAACGAATGCGTAACAACCTACTGTAAGAGGTACCTAAGGTTAAGTGCGTATGATACCCTGTTTCCCAAGATTATTACCTTAGGTACCTCCTACTAAACATGTTGGCGTATATAGGTAGGTAAATAGAATCTTAATAAGTCCGCCCTGCGTTGCTTCAGGTAGACTTGGCGTTATACTGATGAAATCCAATGCATAATGGGAAAATTGAGCGCAGTTCTTAATGGCATGTCCCCTGCCATTCGATCTAACCTCAAGGTTGGCACGCCTCCAAAGAGACCCCCCCCCCCCCCCCCAACCCCTTGTCTCCATTTACTCATAGGTATACCACATTTCACGATCCCAAGATCCCCAGCGAAGTAAACGAGTAGGTACCTCCTAATATAAATGGCCATTATAAATGCTCCCCAAAGTGGACAAGGACCAAAAACGCCAATATCCCGACCCTCCAGCCCGTCCCCTCAGCCTGGTTTTCCTTGAGAGAAGAATGAGATCTTGTTTATAAACCCCAGTCACACCTCTTCTCCACGAAGATAGCCCACGTCTAAGGTTGGCAAATCTATCCAATCCCAACCAGCTAACCTGATTGAAAGCATATGCTTAGCCCGCCGTATGCATAGTTCCATATATCACGCCGAAAAAAGAAAAAAAAGTTAAAAAATCAAGCGCTTGCCCACTCATGATGCTTCTTGTACCAGCTTATGGTATCCAGACCGGTCTGAACGCGCATGCCAATCCGAGCGTCTAGTATAAATGTTCCCCAGTTAGCCACTTTATCAAGCCAGCCCTGGCATTCCTCTATCTTCTCCCGTAGCCACTCTTTCTCGTCCCCCTTGTCTTTATCTCTACGAAGATCAGGTTTCTGTACCTCGACCCATGCAAGTACGGCCATCTCGTAATTAGCCGCGGGCAACGCGTAGTCATCTTTCGTAGGACCTTTAAATGCGAGTCTTTTATGGTACCTATGTTAGTCGGTTGGAATTTTGGATGTAGCAGAATGGAGACTTACCTATCCATAGCCAAAACGCTGTCGAGCAACTCCCGCGCCTCGTCGAGATTGCCCAGTGATCGCGCCACGGCGGCTCGACAGACGTTTCGTACTGCTTCCTCGTCTAATTCCGCCTCTATCTTTTTCCGCGCCTCCGCTGGTGCCGTCAACCTGTCCCAAGATAGAACCCTGTTGGAAAACTCGAGCTCTGAAGGCTGCATCTTCTTCATTCCGTTCCAAAGGTACGTCATCTCTTCCGACGGGCTGGGCCCGATAGCATCCACCAAATCTATTCCCAATGCTTTAGATCTCTCTTCCCACTTCTGCATCTTTCTAACTACGAACTGCTCGAACGGCATCGGCTTGGCTAAGAAGCGCTTCTTGCCAGCTAGCGTGGGCCCCTTTCTGAAGAGCTCATCCGCCTTCTTTTTATGTAACTGAATTTCCGACTCTTTCGCCTTACTATGAAAAGCGTTTCGGTAATTCTCTAGTTCTGCACATCCAGCTATGTAGTAGTATAAAGTAGGACTCCAGTCGTTGATCTCCATGCAGCGGAGGAAATTGTCGCGCATATCGGAATAATCGTGAATGAACATGGAGCACAGTGCCATCTCGAAATTGTTGATCGCCGTGACCTGACGCATTTTCGACTCCGTATTACTTTTTAAAACGTCGAGAGCACCCCTCAAGTTCTTGCTATTTGCTAGGACTCGACCTTCTTCATAGCGCCAAAGCCCGCTATCTGGGTATCTCGCCCGCATCTGGGCGAGTAGTGCAATACACCTCGCTTTTGGGTAACCCACGGTGGCACTCTTTTCATTGTCGCTTTCGAAGGGAAGGATGTCAGCGGCGCTTAGAAGACCGTGATAATACGAGAACAGCATGAGACTTGCTACAGCTCCGTTGACGTTATTAAACCCGGAACTTTGCCATAACAACTGCAAGCCTCGCTCGCGATCCCCCTTAAAACCAATGATGGATAGTAGGCGAGAAAATGCCGGTGGGACTAAAGTAAGGAGGGTCAAGAGGACTCCGTATGCCATGTTGGCGCCGCTATGAACAAAAATGTCAACCGAGTTGGTGAATACATCTGAGCTACGTTTAGGAGATGATCGTTTGGCAGTGCCGTTGGAGTTTAAAGATAGTTGACTTAAGTTCTTCTCTGCTGTATTAAGATCTTTAGTAAGATGACCACCGTAATCCAAAGGCGTTTGTGCTCCAGGGTGAGCTTCGTCAGCGTCCACAAATTCGAGGTCTGTGTCGGTATCGCTGGAAGAATCTGAGTGGATGCCTTCTTTTTTTAAATAGGCTGTTTCCGCTTGCACGAGACTATCAAGCGTAATGAAGGCTTTCCGCAGCCTGTAAAACCCTTTCAAGGCTTCCGTCAAGCTCTCGTTCATAACGGCGACGACGGCAGACATGAGTTGGGCGTAAGCGATGATCAAGGCGTACTCGCTTCCCGGTGGATATATCCTGTCTTCGGCTTTGCCAGCAGCGTCGGCTTCTTTTTGAGCCTTCTTCATCTCACTGAGGGCGCGGGCCTCACACTCGTTGAGACGAGTAACAGTTTCAGCCATAATGGATTTTTCGAATCCAAGAATACTCCTCATAAAAACACAAACTCCCATTCCGAGGAGGTGGAAGGCCGAATCACCCTTTCGTAGCCTCTCTTCAGCGCCGTCGATGTCATCGTTCATAATCAAAGCGGTGGCATCTAGCGCATCTTCGAGCGAAGCTATCTCCCGAGCGCGAAGATCTGATAGAGAGGGTGCAGGACTTGTTTGGTTCGAGGCGGGAGTAGAACCCCGAAACCAAGACCCTAGCCGACTCATAGTAATGATGATGATGATGGTAATGATATATAGTTGATGAGCTATGATCTCAAAGACAACTCCTTCTTTTGACTGAGCAAGGGGACTGGGACTAGGACTGGGAGCCTAGAGGACTGAATAATCGTGGATAAAAACTATGCTTTATCTCAAGATAGGGATAGCGGATAGCCCCGCGATATCCGGTGGTGTTAATTGGCTGATGTTCCCAATGCTAAAAAGTCGTAGGGTGATGTTAAGTTTAGGAGATTTTTAATATTGAAGGGGAGTAAAACAAAAGATTTAATATAGTGACTAGTTCTCCTGTCAAAAAGAAGGGTCGAAAAGCTTATGTAAAGAGTTGGAATAAGCGTGAATAATACGTCTAATGTACGCATATAATAGGTATTTACCAGTAGACTAAAATCTCGGAGCTGAAAGACCTTAATTGCCGAAGTCCACCTTTTGAGGCTTCAGCACGAGTCAATGTACTATGGTACCCTTAATAAGGTGCATGTGGATAAGGGGGATTTTTGATGACGTCTCTAATGACACTGTAACCAAAAAAAGCAATGGTATAAAAAAAGTGAGTGAGTTTCTGTAGGGCTAGGGTAAAATTGATACTTGTTCTATTAACTAGTAAATAATTACTTTCGATAATAACTCATATTTGAGGAGGTTATATGAAAAGCATAGTCGACTGTACGAAAGAAAACAATTAATAGCAAGTGATGCCGCCGTGTGATATATGTATATCATTTCAAACAACCGACAAAGGGATTCGGGGAAAGTAAGCTGACTTGCTAGCACCTAGATTCAAGCCCTAGCGGAAATTAAATAAGAGGTAGGCTGATACGGTGATACGGTAGGAACGCCTTGCAGCATAGAGGCTGAGTTGCACAGCTAAGAGCTATAGGTAGCCACGTACTACGTGGCTATGTAATACCACTACCGTAGGGAAGTATTGACTTCCTTGCATTGTATTGTACAGGTATGCAACTACGGATGTGTACCGCACTCCCGCTCAGCCCAACTGCCCGGAAAGTGGGATGATTGGATGATTAGCTAGCTAGGTACCTATCCGGAGATAAAGTTCTAGCTTCCATACCTGGCAGCGGCCCTTAACCTTATCCGCCTGCCGAGTCTGTTATCGCACCCAACAGATAAAGTAACAGATGCAATTGATTGCATCACAGATCTGATGCAACTAACACATCTCATTACCTAAGAACCTTTTAGGCAAGCTTGATTACGATAAACATTCATTTCAACCATCACCTCAACAATCCGAAGCCTCGCCTCTCTCTTTCTCTCTGTATTTGTTCCACATTCAGCCTCACCACCCAATAAAAGACGGACGACGAGAGAATACAATAATACATTTACTACCACCTACTCCCTTCGGTATTTCATTCGATTAAATCAAATCGAACTACGTCGAACGCAATCCGCACATCTCCACACACAGCGTGAAAGCCATGGCCGCACCCACGAACAAGGCCGGCGACAAGCCCGCCGCCGAATCTTCAAAGGAGCAGTCGCAGCAGCCCCAGCCGCAGCAGAAGCCGGCCACCGCACTAGAAGAGGATGACGAGTTTGAGGACTTCCCCGTAGAGGGTACGTTTCCTTTGCTTACCCCGTCCCCGTCCCATTTTCCATTTCCCCATTCCTATATATCTCTGTCTTATACCTATATACCCCGTCCGATCATAGCATCTACGTAACCAACCGCTGACAACTTCGGACAATTTAGACTGGCCGGCAGAGGAGACCGAAGCAGCAGCGACGGCGGTGGCGGGAGGCACCGGCACCACGACGCAGCACCTATGGGAGGAGAGCTGGGACGACGACGACACGTCCGATGATTTCTCCGCTCAGCTGAGGTACGTCATCTGCCATCTTTATTAGCACAACGCATTTATATATAATACCTTATGTCTCTTCCAACCCTCTTCCCCCTCCCCCCTTTCCCCCTTCCCCATTCTACCTTATGTATCACTTCATCAAGTTTATCCCAATACATACATACTAACGCATCCCCATCATAGAGAGGAACTCAAGAAAGTCGAAGCTTCGAAGCGAAGATGAGAGACAGAGAAAGAGGGAGAAAGAAAGAGAGAGAGAGAGAGAGAGAGAGAACCACGGTTTTCGTACAACCAACAGAACAACAGACTGGGCTATTTCCCAAAAGACGACGATCAAGCAAGCAAGCAAGCGAGTAAGGAAAGCAGTACTAGTAGTAGTAGTAGTAGTAGTAGTAGCAGTAGCATGAGGAATCAAGGTTCATGAATAGATAAATTAAAAATAAAAATACAAACAAGAACCCCACCACCACCCACCAACGGCATTCATTGTATTGTATCTACATATTTCTTGGTACAGCTTCCCGCATTACGCCGCGGTGTGCCGGAGCAAAAGGAGGAAAAAAAACAATGAGCCAAACCTTTTTGGAGGGGAGGGATAATAGACTACCTCTAGCAGAGCAGACGCTACGGCTGCCAAGTATAACACAATAGAAGTCTCTTGGCTTTTAACTGCCGATCGAGATTATTTCCACTTCCCCTCCCTTACCTATTGAATCGCATTGTATTATACATACTTATATTCCTGTATCAATATAGGTTGTCAATAACCAACAATACCGAGACAAGACATGTATGTACCACATCACAGGATATTAAAGAGAAAGAGAACAGGTAAAAACGTATAGTGTAACTACCTATGTATGTACGTGTGATACTTGTATCAGTATTCATCTATTTTTTTATAGCTCTGTGGCTATTTTATCATCATAAGCTCAATACGTAACATTATCAATAACAGGGGAGAAAAAAGGACCACCGCGCCCGGCATCCCCGTGCCTTTAAAGCTAACCGTTCCGCCTTAGAACCCCACCAAAACCGGTTAGCCCCCCCCTTTTTTTAAGACGCGTGTGTCTGTTTGTTTGTATGTATGTATTTGTCAAGCGATCAACCGATGCTACTTTTACAGACGCACCACTGATCTCATTTGGTGCTGAGAGCCTCCACACCGGGTAGGGCCTTGCCCTCGAGCAGCTCGAGAGAAGCACCACCGCCGGTCGACACGTGGGAGCACTTGTCCTCGGCGCCGTACTTGGCAGCGACGGTGGCGGTATCGCCACCGCCAATGATGCCGATCTTGCCCTGGGCGACGGCGCCGGTGAAGGCGTCCAAGGTAGCCTTGGTGCCGTTAGCGAACTTCTCGAACTCGAAGACTCCGGGGGGGCCGTTCCACAGGATCGTCTGGGCCGAGTCGATAGCCTTCTTGTACAGCTCGATGGACTTGGGGCCGCAGTCGAGACCCTGCCAGCCGTCGGGGATGCCCTCCTCGTCGGTGGCAATGCCCGTGTTGGCGTCCTTGTCGAACTTGTCCGCCGTCACGTAGTCAACGGGCAGGACCACATCGACGTTGTTCTTCTTGGCCTTCTCCATCAGCTGGCCGACGTTCTTGGCCCCGGCCTCGTCGAAGAGCGAGTTGCCGATGCGGACGCCCTGTAGCGTCTTCTTGAACGTGAAGGCCATGCCGCCGCAGATCACGATGCTGTCGACCTTGTCGAGCAGGTTGTCGATGAGCAGGATCTTGTCGGAGACCTTGGCACCGCCGAGGATGGCGAGGAAGGGTCGCTTGGGCGACTCAAGAGCTTTGGCAAAGTAGTCCAGCTCCTTCTTCATGAGGAAACCAGCGGCCCTTTGAGGAAGGTTGACACCGACCATAGAAGAGTGAGCTCGGTGTGCGGTTCCGAAAGCATCGTCTAGAGAATAGAGAATATTCGGTTAGCTTTTTGGAGGATATTACTAAATACTATATAAGTTGGGGGGTCCTTACTGATGTAGACATCTCCAAGAGCAGTCAAGCCCTTTCGGAACTCCTCGACCTTAGCCTTGTCCGCTTTGACCTTCTTGCCTTCGGCATCCTTGTAAGAGCCCTCTTCCTCGGCGTGGAATCGCAAGTTTTCCAGCAGAACGACCTGGCCGTTGTCTGCCTTGTTCACGATAGCCTCGACCTCGGGACCGACGCAGTCCGGCGCGAACTCGACACTCTTGCCTAGAAGCTTCTCAAGCTCCGGGACAACGGGCTTCAAGCTGAACTTGGGGTTCGGCTTGCCGTCGGGCCGTCCGAGGTGGGACATTAATACAACAGCCTTTGCGCCATTGTCGATCGCATATTTGATGGTGGGGATAGCACCGGCAATACGTTGGTTGTTTGTAACTTTCTTATCAGCGTCCAGAGGAACGTTGAAATCGACCTGAAGGAGAAATGATATTAGTTAGTCTCCGAGGTAAAATAAAGTAGTATAGTCAACGGTAAAAGTATCGCATACCCGGATGAGCGCCCTCTTGCCCTTTAGGTCGACGTCTGTGATAGAGAGCTTGCTTGACAACGACATTTTGACGGATAGGGATATCTAATTATTCAATTGGTGTCTTTAATCAGATGTAAGATTCTTAGGGATAACTTAAAAGAACAAGTTAGGAGGGAGAAGTTGCGGTATTTCAGATGATTTTTTTTTTTTCCTTGGACGTCCGTTGGGAAAAAGCACGCAGGTGCAGGTGGGAAGACCTCAGCAGAAAGACCGGAACTAATACTAATAATGCTCAATGGAGGGGCAGAAGATGGCCGGAGGGGTAACAGGAAAAAGCTCCCCTTAATAATTTGGTGGGGTGAGGTCAACGAGCTTTAAAGGTGACGTCCTATAGGCTGCATCTAGCCACACAGCTGGCACGCTAAGGTGAAGCATGTAACCATACTAGTCAATTTAGTGGTTTGATACATTGACGTTTCGAATGATCTAGTGCGCCTACCTACCTAGGTAGGTACCTACCCGGTATAGGACCTTGCCGTCCCCTTGGACCCATAACCGCGATTCTCCGTTAACTTCGGCCAAATATCCAATCCGTGCCAGCCGGTGGTGTCATGATTGTCGCCTCATTTTGCTCCTTTAAGCTTCAGCTCTCTTCATGTATAATTGGATCATATCTCCTTATAACGACGTATGCCATGACAATCGTCTGTCGTATTGTGCTTTGCTTTACTCGATAACAGCTGAAGCCAGCCTTAATTACACCGACGTTGTGCCTTTAGCCTCGATATCTTCGGTTAACGACATCTTATTCCTAACACTTTCGTAAGTAATTCCGAGTTTTATAGACAGGTAACTACCTGGTACTTAGGTAAGTACCTACTATTCAAACACGCGAGTGCACATGATACTGCTGGTTTGCATCTACCCAAAATAAATACAAACCTATACCCAAACCGGTAGACCTACATCGTTGAAGCCAAGAAAAGAATGCGCCCATCCAAAAAAAAAAAAAAAAAAAAAACCATATATCTATCATATCATATCCGTCAACCTATGAAGACCATGCTCCTTTATGCCGGAACGCCTGCCGACTTATTGTTTCAAAGAAGCTGAGATATAGTAAAGAGTCTAGTAATCTTTTCTATACGGACCGATATATCACTGAAGACGAATGTTAGAAGAATGAGGAGCCGCCTTTTGTTCAACGTCTTCCGAGGCATTCGTCAAAGAGAGATATGCAGTCCAGGCAATGCCAACCGTGGAGACGAAAGGCTGTAAAAAGCTGTCAGTTAAAAAAGGAAAATCTCGTAAAATGTGTTTTAGAATGTAGGAAACTTACCAACTGGAACTGCACTGGCATCAACCTGAAATTGATGACCTGTACGGCAGGCCAGACCATGTAGTTTGCCTTCAAGGTAGGAATATACATATCCCTAAGCTTTTGAGCGACCTCCCTACGGCCACCACCCTCCGCCAGGGTCATGGTGGTAAAGAAACAAGCGATACCAAACGGTGCAAAGATCAGCTGATCAAGAATCACCCGCTTCATCGCTGGAGCAAATGCGCTCGTCTTCGTTATAGGGAACGCCCGCGAAAGGAAGCTGAACCACTTATATTGCAAAGGAGCCATGACGAAACCATATGCCATGAATCTCGTTAGTCGCTCGAAGTCAAAGGGAGGTGGTAGATCCTTAGAGTCCGGGATCAGCTCTCGGTCGCTCCAGGGATTCTTGCGATCTAGCTCATGAATCTCGATCGCCATCGAATCATTTTTTGTAATGCCGCCGGGCTTTCGAAGTGCTCGTTCTCGGACGGAGGTAATCGTTTGCGCTACGGTATCAGCAATACCTCCAAGGACGGCATTCGTCACCATCATTGTAAGAACTGAGTTGAAATATGTCAGTTTCGCAAGGCGCGAAATCATGGCGGGACTATATGGTTAATTACCTGGCCGCTCATCATAATAGGCGTTAAAACGCGACATCAAGCGCGCCATGATAGCCATCTCGATGAAGAAGATGACAGCATGAAGAAGCGGCTGGATGGAAGGACAAAGTTAGTATAGAATACAATAGGTCAACTAGATGGTAGCAGCATTCGAAGACATGGAGCAGTGTTAATAGTGACGACGATGATAGGTAGGTATGTTGATGTAGATAGATGTGGGTTTATTGGTCAGGCAGAGTTAAGCGGTTAAGGCGTTTTGAAATCGTGCAGGATGAGTGTTTAACATACAATGCGATCAAGAATAAATTTACTATTTACTGCTCTCGAGAAGCGGCGTCTGGTAAGTTCCCAAGACATTTTGGAGAGAAAAAAACTCGAAGAAGACCACACTAGAGACGAGAAGAATAAATTTGGTAATAGTGCTCGTAGAATCCGGGGCTCAAAAAAATGGGCTTCTCGAGAGGGACGCTTGGGGACTTTTTCGATCGATGACGACAGATTGATGGTTCTGATAAGCCAGACGAGCCCCGTTTTTGCCCCGTCTGCCCGTTAGCGACCAATGCCAAGTTTAAAATAGGATCTGGTTCGAGAACCCGCGAAGATCCGTCTTGTTTAGTTAGAAGCGCGTAGAAATATCCAGGGACCAAGTGCTGATTGAACGGGGTTTGGGTATATGAAATGAAAATGAATTTGGTTGGTTTAGGTTATGTTTTTTGAGGAGTGATGGAATTCTGGAGTCAAAATTATTAAAATTCGACCGGGCGTTACGTTTTGGAGAAAAGGAAAGCCCGGGTCCAAGTCAAGTGACATGACCATACAGACCATAAAAATAGCACCGATCGGCACTTTCCCCCCTTTACTGTCAAGGCACACTTGCCTAAACTGAAGCAAAACAGCTACGAGATACATCAATCATGTACCTACATCAACTTCTAAATTCGATACCTTCCAGATGTTACTTTAGGCACCTTATTAATCAGACAGACTAATATCACCGGCAAATCGTTTGTCAGACTTGAAAATAATCATCAACCAAGTACATACATGCAGTTAGAATATCAATAAGTACCAACCTATTTAGAGAGATGGAAGACTCTTCAACCATCATAAGTCATTGAACTCAGCTTTTGAACTCTTGGACCGTTCTCATAAAAATATTCCTGTATCTACCTAAGATAACTTTAGACACAAGACTTCGCTGGTTCCTTGAGCCAGTGTTGATCTTACCCAGCTTACCCAACCGGCAAACAATCCAATAGAGTAAAGTAGGAAAAGAAATATGGCACTGTTTTAATTCTTGTTCCTATTTGCATGTTATAATATAGCATACACTTGTTTGCTTTGGCCGTGCTACCTCTACTGTTAAGTATCTATAATCACATATACCTACCTGGTACCCACCTAGAGTAAATTAGGGGCTATAAGTCAAAGAGCCTCACGTAGCACCACAGAGTTAACAATGCCGATAAGAAGTGCTAGGTACATATAGGTAGAAGCTGTTAAAATTGTACATAGGTGATTACCAAGTATCTATATTATGGCTTAACATAACCGTATCGAAACGTATTTTAAGTCAAGCAAGGGGAGTTTAAGACGGAACATATGTTAAATTTAGCAGGGTGGTGTCACGTCGCAGAGCATGAGGTAAGGTAACAACTTTGTGGTTCTGTGAGGAACTCTAACTACAGTAGCTTTAAAGCCAAAGCTATATATAAAACAACTCCTTTGTTCCTAAGGAGTCTCAAGGAGTCTCAAGTAAGACTCCTAATAGTGTAGATACTTCTATGTTACAAGAGCATAGGACACTTCTACTAGGTATTTCCCGTATCTAAGTTATACCATCCTCAGTCCTGGCGTCACTACGAGGTAACTTACAGAATTATATAGTAATTACTATAATAGATGTTAACCTCGAAGCCTGCCTTCGGTACTTCTCTACTTACCTCGAGTAGATATATTTTGTCAACCTCCGACATTAGAGTCATCCAATTTCTTTTACATTATAATAACTTATTTATAATGAAATAAGGATATAGGAAAGAAAAATGTTTAACATTACAGTAGTACAGGAGAGTTTTAAGCGCGAATGAAACAATTCACCACGCATTCTTCTGTCAAATTAATACATGGAATATTTGTTATACCGGGTGACTCAACAATTAAGTTTCCGACGGAAGCAACAGTTCACGGCTACTTATTTGCTACTGTTGTTTGCCCATATTAGGGTAGTACATTGTTAGGACAGTAATTGGAGCTTCCTCGATTGAGGAAAAGCAAGGGGCTTCTTTCCCTGTCTTCACCTACCTGTGATGCCACTTCTTAACCAAAACGCTAGAGATTAAAGAAAGGAAATTACTATCTTAGTGAATCACACGGTATATGAGCTAGCTGTATGGGCAACTTGACTTAGGTAAATACATAAACTGGACTTCTCTATTCACTCATGTTCTACGACGTGACAGCCTGACTTATATACACGTATCCCCTGACATGTCTTGTGTCGCCCTCGACAATAGTCCCTTGAACACTCATTTCAGGAATCTATTCCAAGTGAAGCCATCGAATTAAAAATACTCCAGCATCGACCTGGAGGTAACGCAAGATGGCAATATTTTGCTTTCTGCCATGTGGGGCGATAATTCACATGTTTGTTTGCTAGCAGGCGACTTTATATTAGAGGGAAAACGTCCTGCTTCAAGCCTTGTGCTCTCTTAGAAGTTAGAAATCATTGTTTGTCATGGTTTCCAACAAGAAACGACTCTACATCGCCGTGTATCCTAGCGGAATCACAGGGGACGAAACACGGAAGTAGGTGAGGTGATTCTCTACGGCTTCTGCCAGGATCTTAACATCCGCTCTCCGCAGGTATCATTGGGCCTTTCTCATCGGCCCTAAGAATGAAGACAAGAAAGAGGTGTCCGGCATGCGTTATCACGTCAAGAATCCGACCGGCTTTTGGATATACGAAGCCAAGCCCGTGAAGGACGTGAAATCCACCATCAGCCTCCTTGCCCGCGTGTGTATCGCCAAGATTACAGACGAGAAGCGACTGCTCGAGATATTTCGAAACACTCCAATCCTACAGAATGACCCAAACTTCAACTGCCGCATATGGCTTATCGATGCGCTGTCGCGCGTATCGGCTGATGGGACGGTAGTTGGTAGAGCCGAGTTGGACTGGGAGAAAATCGAGCAAAATGCTTGTGTATACGTGGGTGAGAAGATCGCCTCTGGGAGATATGACGCGGGCGTAGATATGTATGCGCCAAAACCCAGGTGGGACTTGCTGGAAGAGAAGGAGCTTGTGACTTAACGTCAGGTTATGTTCGTTATGGATGTCATACACAGAGTGAGTGTCAGGGACATAGTATGCACCTCATATCCCTGATAATTAATTGATGCAAAAGTGCATCGCATCGCTTGTGGGGATTCTTATTAGGTACCATATGCGAGTTGTCTGTCATATTTCACCCCACCATCTTTGTCGTAAGGTTTCCATCCTAAACTCCTCGGGGTATGGTTCAAGGAATGTAGGAACAAAATCTCTCCAATCTTGCATAGGTAAATAGCACGCCGAGGTATATTCCCAGTAAGGGGGATACCATCCTGCAGTTTCCCAGTCAATGATACCAACGACCTGATTACCACGAACTATGATATTAGAGGCATTGAGGTCTCCATGAGTAAGTACAGGGGCTGGCCAAGGCCGTTTCTGCTTCATCACCAATTCCTGGAAATCATCCCAATCGTGGTCAGTTTGAGGGTTAGGAAAGCCATTAGGGAAGTCTTCTACTTCCAACCCCCCGCGGAGCCAGCAGTGAAAGTCTTGAATCGTCTTGAACGGCCCGAACCTTGGAGATGACCGGGACATTCGTGGGTCGTGTAGTGAGCCGCCAACCAAACTTTCAACTCCCGTACCAGAAGGCGGTTTTACTGCTCGTAGCTCCTGTAGCATGCGCTGTAGTTGGGAACGGATGATTTCCAAGTCCTCTATGGATAATGTCTTCCAAATAGTGCAAAGGTTATCCCCTTCGATGCGTTCCATGACGATGTATGCCATGTTCCTGTGGATAAAAGAACAGTGCACGCGCGGAACGGGGATAGACGTGTTTTTAGCGACGAATGTCATAGTGGCGGCTTCTGTTAGATGGACAAAGGGTCCCCACTTGACGATGACGTTTTTAGAGATTGGATGACAATAACAGAAAGGCTTGTAAATTCGAAGCCATCGATTAAGCTTTAGGGAGAGAAGGGTTGACAGGCGCCGGTACAGCGTGTTGTTGACGGCTAAATGTTCGGTGCCATCATGCTGGGTATCGAAGCCGTCACCAAGACTTTGGTACGTATTTGGCATTGCTGTGATAGATTCAACGAAGTTTTAAAAGTGTAAATGGAATTGATGATAGTTCATGTAGGTGGCCATCCTGCCTCCGAATGGCATATTTTTAACCTATTATAAAGCAACCATGAACTTGTAAGAATTTACTATGTGTGGAAGTCGTGTTTGTCGGGAGAATTACAATTTACACTATCAAGGGATTGTTCTACTTGGACGTTGCACACACAGCAACTCCCTTTCTAACGCACTGACCACCTGCACCTCTTTATGCACCTTTATGCACTTTTATGCACCCTTGTGCTGCGTATCTAGCTGCCTGGTGCCCTCATGCAACTATCAAGTTCCAGCTAGGTAGTTAAGCGGGCTTCTGAAGAATCACAGAGTTAATTTTGCAGGCTACCGTGTTGCCGCTCACACTTGCACTTAGACCACTCATGGAATATGCAGTTGCTCCGTTGTAATTTTCGGGCTTTGAATTACACCAGCTCGAATCTGTCCCGGTACTCGTCTGCTTATTATTAGGCCAGGATGATCATGTACAAATAAACAACAGGCTAATAGGGGTAAGAAAAAAAAGGGGGGGCAGAACTGAAAATAGGGGCTAGTTCTCAGCTGGTCACTTACAATAACAACATTCGAAAACGCAAGTGGGCCAAAGTCCCAATTAACACCGTTGCTGCGCATAAGTTAACCCTTCACGTACAGCTATTAAATAATCCGTGAGCGACGAAGAAACATACAGCTCAATGGCAAATATCGCTTGGTTGAAAGATTTACTGGCTAGAACAACTGTCAGCTCTCCGAATTCGAAAGGGTTTAAGATTCCATTGAACGTTGAACGGTGACTGACCTAGTGGAAAACTATCCGTTACTGTTTGCCCCGTAGATTGACGAGTTAGAGTTGACGTCCATGTCGACCCGCTGCTGTCTAGCTTATTGTTGAATGTGACCTTTTCGTTGGCGTAGGTATTGAAACCACTTCCCCATGGGAGATTCGGGTTCGAACAGCACCACTGAGGCAAGGCTTGTTAGCATTCTGCCACTCAAGGTAAAAGGTTACTCCGTGAGTAGTAACTTCCGGGACAAGCTAAGATGGGAGAGATTAAAACCTGTAGGTAGAAACTACATACTCCCGATCCGATCCACCACGTTCCACTTCTCCCGTCAAGCACATTCTGGTACACGCCGCTGTTATCGGTCGGTTGAAGGCCTGGCCATAAGTAGTATGTCCCAGCTTTCGGCAGAGCCGGGATCGTCATCTCTCCGGAGAACGACGTGAACTTCTGCCCGGACGCCGGGTAATACCGGAGGAAGTACCACGTCGCGGCCGACGCGTGCCCAGCAAAGGCAAGGAATGACACGAGCAGGACCGTTAACAACATTTCGTAGCTGGTGTATGCGCAAGAGTACTAAGTGTAATTTGCAGGCGTTTATTGCACCACGAGAGGCCGAGGAAATCGAATCATAGGTAGATGCCTAAGGCATTTAAAGTTTCCGGATAAAAGACAACATTTATAGATACCCAGGTATCAATATATAACTAGACCACGATCTAGATCTTTACTTCCACCAGGTCAGTTTCCGAATTCGTCAACTTTTTTATTTACTACGCGCTTAAATGTGATATTCTACTCGCCTTCGGGGTGCAAAGGGAGATATCGGACCGGTTATAAAAATAGGCAGGCATGTAAAGGAAAATACCGCAGTATCGTAGTATTGGTAGAAACGTTATCATGGAATAGGTAGAAGCTATATATACCAGGGTTACTATCCCACCGGGCGCTATTTTTCCACGACTTAAAGTCTCATAACTCCAGAATACCTTGTTGTATGTATCTCTTTACTCAACTGGCCTGGTTCCAGGCAGTTTTCAAAACAAGGGTATCTCGTCTTTCACATATCGGTTTAATTGCCGTATCTTGCTCACATGTGTTAACCCCTCCATAACGCCGTTCTATGCTCCCCTTGAATCTCACCATCAGTTATCCGTGACAACATTTAAACTCCTATTGATTATCTTTAGATAGCTCTTATCTTTAAATCCTCCACTATAGAGGCCACTTTCCGTACGTTGCTAAAATCAAGAATTTGCCCCCATGTACAGACTTACCTAGGTAGGGATCGGACAAACGCGCTCGTTTGCGATAATCCTCTTGGAAAACATCGCCTTCCCTCCCTTAGATTCGGTTGTCTTTGGGCATTGAAATGCGGCGATGCTCCCGCGAATGCAAATCCTTTACCCTGGTCCTGCCCACCGGACTCTTCTTCAGCTTCATCGGGATAGCTGGGGGCGTTCTCTAGCTCCAGCTGATCGGCTAGATCGAGCAACTTGGCGCCCGCTTGTCGAATGCGAGGGCAGTTTCTCTTTTGGAATTTTAACTGAACCCAGTGGCGAAAGTGTTCCGAAATATCTGCGCCGGAGCGAAGGAAGATCTCTCCTACTTCTGCGAGAAACAACAAGTGGCTCTCATCCATAATTATCCACAACGTTGACTCTAGCCATTTAAGCCAAGGAGTCGTGGTCCTGGTCTTGACCGTATCGAAAATCTTATAGTTGAGATCCCCGCCCTGGGAAATCAGTAAAGCAACTATGTCGAGGAATAGCTCAGGATTGTATATATTGATCCACTCCGAGAAATCGCCGGAGATCAAGGGTAGAGCAACGGTATGGTACAGTAAAGTGGACCATCTATCCTCAGATTTTGACGAATCGTTCTGCGGAAAGGAGATATGGGTTTTGACGTAGTTGATTGCTCCTACTTCAGCAGCAAGATCAACTACTACCGACGACGATTCGCCCCCTCTGGCAATCCGTCCTAGCATATTATGTTCTCTTTGAAAATTCAGCTTCAAACTATCGATGAACGGCTGAATGACCCAGAAGATGTTGCTTTTACTTTCCGGGTACTGGCTATCAAATTGTCCCCCCCAATGAAGTCCATCTTGGAGAAATAGAGTCGCTTGATAGGAATAGTAGGGGGTGCTTGTCATGGTTAAGTAGAGACCAATGAGGGACAGCTCTGAGGCTGGCTGGAGGCCTTCAGGAGGTCGCAAACACTCGAGGTCCCACGATTTCTCGTTGCTCAAGAATTCAAAAACCGACCGGTGCATGAATACTACTTTTGCGTCAATCTTGGTATCGTGGTCACCTCCGCTTTTTGAACCGCAAAAGCAATATTTACCGTCCTGTAGGCAGATACCACCTGCTTCCCAATGCGTCTCTAGTAATCCTCCCGTTCGACTTCTTAACCGCCCTTCGAGTTCTTCGCATAATGTGCGCTTCTGGCCTCTGCTTAGGGCCGATATTCGTTCCACGCTTGTATAGTCATCATCTATCAGAGCAAGGCCGAGCAAAGCCAAGTCTCTGTACCGGAGTTTGCCGTGCGCTTGTTGCGCTACGAAGCATATCCGCAGCATCCTAGACCCTTGTTCTCTGTGCCGCTTATTGATTCTATTAAGCATGTGCTGGAACATCTCCTCGAGCTCTGGTGGAAGCTCGTCTACACGACGTTGGAGCTCGTGAATCCTATCGTAATCTGCAAACCCTGAGATAAGGGACCTACAAGCGAGTCTAACCCATAGGAAGACGCCCGAGGATTTATCGACTAGGTCTTCCATAATTGTCGTAGCCTCTTCGGGGTGGCGATTTAAGAGACCTTGCATATATCTATGACCGCCGATGGTTTCTTTAACATAAGCCCTGATATCAGCGCGTGTCAAGTGATGGAGCTCCAACGAGGGGAGCCCGCTAAAAGAAGCAACGCAATCCGGAATTGGCCTACTTGAGACCAATATCTTGATATGAGGATTCGCGGCAAGCTCCTTAAGAAAATCCATACCGTCCAGATAATTCCCGACGAATTCATCTAGCCCGTCGATAAAGAAACAAAACTTTCCGATCTGCGATGCCTTCCTCGCAATAACCCGAAACGCGGACTTGGTTTCGGCCGCAGACGGTAAGTGAACCGTGTCGCGGTTGTCGTAGAATTGTTTCCACACGCTTGGAAGGACTTCGGGGATAAGAGACGGGTGCTCGGAGAGTATTCGGTATAGTAGATTTCTCGATAGTCCCTCCTGGGACTTTTGCTCGCAAGTTCCCATGTTGTAGAAGAAATGATGGATTAGAAAATATTTCGCGTCGCCGGCCCATCTAGAAAGGAGCTGCGTGGTTTGTTTCTGCTCGATTAGGTGCTTTATTAGTGTCGACTTGCCGCTCCCTGCCTTCCCTGATATCCAGTAGATCCCCGAACCAGACTGAAGCCATTCCGAGAGATCATCCCATGGATAGCCATCTTCAGGTGGCGCAAGTACCCAGCGAAATGTTTCGCGGTGCGCTTCGGAAATGGACTCCCGCCTCTCATCGATAGTTCTGAACCATAACAGGCGAAGAATCCGTTTTTGACAGGTACGCATGATATGCTCCTGAGTCAACTCAGCCACTACCATCCTGTTCCCGACTGCTGCTTCGTGAATAAGCTTGAGTCCTCTTAGGTCCCTAATGGAAGAAATGTCCGTGTCGGTTGCATACCGAGTGATTGATTGACTGTCAGATATCGGAACGATCTGCGTGAGTTTTGTGGTGAAATGGCTCAACTCCTTGACCAGATCTTCGAATTTCGCTTTATCTCGGATGACCCAACGTATCCGATTGCGCATCGTCAGTTTCTTTTCGCGCATACTGCTTCGTAGTTTCATCGCCTCGAATTCCTTAACGAACTTCGCCATTCGTTGGCCGCTAACTACGGCCACGTAATCGTTGTGCTTGGCGCCCCTGAGTCCTGCTCGTTCACGAGGTCCCGGTTCGTCGGCCCTGCCCAGGCCATAACGCTCTCTTAGTTGGGTTTCGTCACCCATCAGGAGCTTACTGCATGCTAAGATGCGGGTAATGGCACACTGAATAATGTCTTCATCCAATCTCCGGTCGTAGTCCAGTCGTAAGAGCTTTACTTGCTCGGACCATTGTAATAAAATGGTCTTCTCGATATCGAGTTTGGTCTCCAGTATTTCATAATCGCGGCCGAATTCTCGTGAGCTCATAAAGTCATTGAATAGGTCGATCGCATCCCTGAATGCACCTATCATGCCCGCAAGCCCGGCTACACCCAAAACAAGACCAGCGACCTCGGCCATCTCGAACGTGTGTCTGGTCGCCTAAGGGTCTGGATTGGGTTGAAAAGGCAATACCTATATCACCACCGATAACTGAGAAGAATCAGAGCAGATCACGAAAAATATATGCCAAGTATTTATCAATATGTGGTTGAAGGAGTTGGGCACTGCACTGCCGACACTCACTGTCAGCATAGCCAAGGCGGCATCATTTGGGCAGCATCCAAGGCACGCTCGAGGGCACTGCCACTAATAATATATGCATATTTTAACTTATAGCTAGAGTAGAAGACAAGTGCCTAAGACATGTCGTTGGCCAGCCTTTACGGCCTGGAGCCCCATGGCACCCGAGAAAGATGAACAAATTATGTTTATGGTATGAAATTCTTCAATATCGGGAGCCTTCAAACACTTCAATCTTTACGTATTTTCTTCGCAGTGGATATGCCAGGAGTCTTACTTGAGATTCCGTGGGAATAAAGAAGATGTTTGTACCTAATGTAGCTCTAATTTCAAAACTATCTTAGTTAAAGTTCCTTACAGAACAACGAAGTTATTTCCCTGACTAAATAATCTGCGACATGACGGGAACATGACGGGATACCTTGTGTACATCCCCGCGAAGAAAAGACACTTATCTGAAGCTTCTCAGAGGCTTACTTAAAGCTTTTGGCTTTTCTTCTAATACTGCCCCCCTTTATTACTAGATGCCGTACGACTTGGGTAGAATTTACGCGTCTTTGGAAATGAGGCCTCGACAGAACAGTTCGAGGCTAAGAATCTCCTTCATTCACATCAAGCTGGATGAGCGAGGCTCTTTAATAGTGTTGAGAATATTGGAGTCTTAATAACCTGTCAGCACTATCGAATATACTAATCTCTAATGTAAGCCTAAACAGGTACCTACCTCTTAAAGAGATGGTAAGAATATAGGATAATATAACTGTCTTGATATTACAAATATCAATATATTCCCACTTAAATAAGCATGATGACGATATCCCAAAACCAATAATTCAACTACCAGTTACACAGGTACGCGTGTAACAATGAATATCAAAACTCAAAAACTCCTATTACACAATACAGTTACGCTATAAACTTTTTAAGAAAACTTTGAGGCAGGACAAGAGTCCAACCTGACTGCCACCACCTGCGCCTAACTTAGGTACCTGAACGTAACTTATCTACTGTAGGTTACCAGTCATCCAGAATGTCACATACCCTCAACTCTCCTCTATACTATCAGCCTTGTACTCTTACATTACTTTCTACAGCCAACCCAGGAACCATCCTCCGTGTCTATCCGCGCACCTAGTATCTTAGGTACCTACATCCTCAATCCCATATACCAAGTACTCAGCGCTACCTAACAGTTCAGAACCCATTCTGCCTGAGCGGTTTCCCAGCCATATCCGGGGCGTAGTCGTCGCCGGAATCCGGCTGATTAACGTAGAAATCGGGGCTGTTATTCTCGACGCTCGTCTTCGCGGCGTTGTACCGCTTGAACGCGCTCTCGACCAGCAGCCCAACCTCCTTCCTGTTCCTGCCGATGACGCCGACGGCGAGCAGCGCCTCCGTCTCCTCGATCCAGTCCTGCAGCCGCCGGAACCCGACCCGGTCCTTCTCCAGCCGCTGCGGCTGCCCGGACCCCTTGATCAGCGCCAGGATGCCCGCCAGCACCGTGTTGACCGCCCCGCACACCGTCACGACCGTCTCGTACCGCCCCGAGTTCGGGCCCATGGCCGTGAGCGCCGCCCCGATCACGATCTGCGCGAAGTAGCACAGGTACAGGAACGCCGTGAGCAGCGCGTTCTGCACGGCCTTGGCCCGCTGCGTCTCGATCACCGTCTTGTAGATGCCCACCGCCGTCTTCCGCCCTTCCTCCAGGGTCCCGCTCTCCGTGCTCTCCCGCGCGTAGTTGATCCCCAGCGCCTTCCGGAAGATGACCAGGTTCTCGTCGTTGGGCCCGCGTATGGCGAGGCCCGCCGGGGCCCCCCAGGACAGGTTCGTGATGGTCTTGATGGGCGCGGGGTCGACCGGTGTCGGGTTCGATATGCTTGGTTTATGGGGTGCGGCGGGGGCTTTATGTGACCTAGGCAATAAGGGTGGGCTTAGCTGAGGAACGGAAGTCCTCGAGCCGGGGCTGAGGAGAGGAGAGTGAACGTCTTTGATGTCTGACATTATTAAGAGACTTATGTCGAAAAAGTATTATTTCTTAGTCTCGAACCATGAGAGGTATGTTGCGTTAGTTTTAACATGATATGGATAAGAACCCTTAATCCAGGGGAGTATGAAATCTATTTATATATGGTATTGTGCATGCTATATTTGATACCCTAGGTAAGGGCCCTATGAGCCGTCTCACCTGACCGAGGGGTCATGCACCGTTACATGATTTGCGTCTAGTCATGGCCTCACCTTGAGTAGCTCTATTGTGTCTCACGTACAACTTTCATCGCACTAGTAGACGTCGTCGCTTGTTGCTGACATAATTATATAACCTTATTGAGACTTGAACGGGAATTGCTGACGTTGATCGGTTGGCCAGGGTTGTACTCGGGATAGAAGTGAGGTAGGTACAAGGTCTCACGGAAAAGAACACTTGCCATCAAAAAATAGCTATAAGACCGTAAGACTAGGAGTAGAGAGTCAGCTTTATTGAGCGATGACGTCGGAATATCGACAAGGAGAAGCTAACCGTCGCTTCTAATGTAATGGTAACCCTACCTCGTAGAATATTTAGCTGATTTCCTCCCTTATTGAGGGGATCCTCACCTTCCTCGGCCCTTCCACAACAACTTACCCTGTTAGGTAGACAGAGTTACTCATTTATTGTGGCTCTCTTACGTACAATATTGTTTCTCGTTTACATTTTTCTTTGGAATTATATATCGTAGGTAAGTAATAAACTCGATATTTTACGGCGTCATTCTTATTTATCGTTAAAAGATCGGCGACGGTCATGAGTTGCACATGGCTTTGAACAGGGGTACGAACGTATTGAGCCGGCAACTCCGCTTCCTATGCGACGTAGATTCTGAAAATAGCTTCGGGACTCGGATTTCATAGCGGGTTCGAACTTGCAGTCAAGAAAAAGAATATCAAGAGAGATACACAAAGAAGCAAGATGCTGTTAAAATATTTCGGTCCTATACTTTTTTTAAGATGGTCAAGTTAGAGATCATTCGGGTTGGGGTAACTTGAATGACGATCAAAACTGAGACAGAGGGCAGTCATTACCCCTATCACATGTCACAAAACAAATTGCGTCGAAAGTGGAATAGGGGGATACCACCAAAAAAAAAAACATCCAAGAATATCTCATGTATACAGCAGCATTTTCCTCCCTATCAAGATATAAATAAAGTTCCCTAGAAGCCTTATTTACCTAGATATAATGGAATACGTTTTTATTCTAGCCTTGATCGATAAAAACCCTATAGTTGCATTTGACCAGGCCACGTCGCACGCTGGATGCACCAGTCAATCAGTGATACCAACTCGGACAATCCTTCCTCGTCGCGAGGTACTTCGTGAGACCCCTTGTGCATTTGTATCTTTCTGATATATGGGTCGCAGAGCCCCGTGAGTTGAACCGAAGCCGGGAAAAGGGGGTCATTCTCGCCCCATACGTGTACAGTCGGTATTCTTATCTTCAACTCCAGAGGGATCCTGTTCAGATTTAACCCGAAGCAGTCATCCGAGTTAAATACCGCTCGCCGCGCCTTACTCGTATGAGCGGGCAAGGGACCGAGTGCTTGGTCTCTTTGCAGATTTGCTTCCGCTACTACCATTTCCGCTTCGTTTGAGACAGGCACTCCGAGATCTTTCAAAACCTTGAGCGGAATGCTTCCGTTGATGAAAATGGCAAATCTGAAAGCAGGTGGTAGCTCATGCTCATACCACTGTCGATACAAGAGGAAGCTAGACACAGCAGCAGCTCCTTGAGATACTGCCAGGACGCCATCGTAAGGCCCATCACGGTCTAATATCGCAGCTAGCCATTCGCCAGCCTTGCGGATATCTTTAACTTCCTCGGCGTCGTAGAATTTGTAGCCGTGAGATTCAGGGGGTGGTGGGTCTTTCACCAGCAAGTTTGAGTATTGCAAAGGGCCGTTGACAAACTCGAATGACAAGTTTGGGGTTGAATTTTGCAATCTCGATAACAAAGCAGCTGTGTAGAGAGTTAGTGATTGAGATAATATGAACCAATGATAGGACCGTGGTACTATATGAGAGGCAGGTACCTAACAGTGCCTAATCTAGATGCTTACCCAATTCAGATTTCAAGATATTTTCATTTTGGCTGTCGCCGTGAAGACAGAGTATTCTCATGTCGAGTTGAGCACCTCAAAGTGTTTAGTATTGTTTTATAATTAAATTTGTTTTAGTTACTTATTAGCTTTTAGGTTGCTTCAGAGAAGTTTGTTTCGGATATCCGCCTACGCTCGGAAGTCCGGTCTTGTATGCATATTCTCGGGTGTAAGCACCTTAACCTTACATAATTGTTTATAGAGAATTCTTATCAGGCAGAGCAATGTATAATGAAATGATAGTCGGATACTTTTCAATACACGCCAAACTAATAATTGCTTAAGTGCACCGTGGGAAAAGGATACTCAAAATACGAGCGACACGTAGAGTATTGACACAGTAAAACTGATGAAAGTTGTTATTGGTCTAAGTATTATTAAGTACCTCAAAATTTAGGTCGCTATCCGACGGGACTCCTTTCGTACCAGGTATGATTTGGGGTAAATACCTAATTAATACCTGATACCTGATAACCAAACAAGTTAACAAACTTGCCTCTTCTTTTATTTCTACGACTCTACCTACAAAGCGACGATGAGGCCGTTTATTTTATCCATGGCACGTCGGAACCATCATAACCTCGACCCTGATGGTGATGTCCTCCTTACCCTTCATAACCCTAACGCACCGTTCGCCGTCTGGGATCCAGACTGGTATAAGGATGTTCCCTCTTCTCCTCTCCCCGAACAGAATGATGCCAAGTCTCAAAATTCCGACCGGTCAGAATTCAATGATCAAACTCAACCAGAAGCGCATTCCGAGACAGGGCAAAGTTCACCCGCATCTGACCAACCTAGCACTACCAGCACATCACCATCATCGTCGCAAGTTAAGTTTCGGGTCTCGTCGAAACATTTGTGTCTGGCTTCGGAATACTTCAAACGCCTTCTGCAAGGCCCTTGGAAAGAAGCAACCTCGACGTCTGAAGACGGTCTCCGGCACGTGGACGCTTACCATTGGGACCAAGAAGCTATGCTCACCCTGATGCAAATTATCCACGGTCGCAATTATCATCTGCCTCTATATCCCACTCTTGAGTATCTCGCCAAAATCGCCGTTCTGGTAGACTACTACCAATGCCACGAGGCCGTTTCGCTGTGGGCGGGGAAATGGTTGCTATCCATCAACATTGCCAATGTTTTCGATAGGGATACCATTCTGACGATCCTGGTTGGCCAAGTGTTCAAGGAATCCGGATTGTCCGAGAAGGCGGCGCGGGTGGCCATGCGGGAGTGTCCAGGGAAATTGCCAACATTAGGATTACCTATCACGACAGTGGCCGGTAAGTACCATATAGTCCGTTTCGTCTATCCGTCTATCCGTTTATATGTTAGATGCGCACACGCCTGGTTAACCGACACATAGAGAAATTCGACGCGAAGCGGAAGGAGGCCTTGGATCAGATATTTACTGATTTACATAACCTTCTTAACCGTTTAATTCAGCGTCAAGTCGGATGCTCACTCGAATGTTCGTCCATGACACTGGGGGCCCTCAGTATATATCTACATGAAAGCGGAGTTCTTGATCCGCAATTGGCTTTCCCTTATTCCGGGCATAGTGTAGGGTCAACTATCTCAATGGTTAGAGAGTTTAATATACCCTACTGGAGGATGTATAGCTCCACGAGAGGACATCACTCGTGTGAACTACTATCTAATGACATAAAGAACATTACTTACATGGCATCGCAGGGTTTGGATTTCTACTGAGAATGCCTGGCTAGTTTGAGGTAGAGTTAATAATGTCTTAGCTTAGTCTTTGATGTTCCCGTGAGGTAATCCTCGAGCCACGATACCTTATATGCACCGTTGGAAACGGCCGTTGGATTATGGTTCCCTGTAGCTATTTCAGTGGCTATAAAGACCTAAGAGGTCTTCGAAAGCTAGGTACGTATTTTCGAAAAAAGTTATGGAAGTGGAGAATATTTCCTGGGCCGATATCTCTAGAGATACAACCAATGAAACATTTCTTCAACGATGCACCCAATAAAAACCTCCCAACTTCAGCTCGGACCGCTGTCCCCTTTTGGCTGAGGTGTTGGTCAACTGGAAGGTGGCTATGGTTTACAAGACGACCTTGCTTGATACCCTATCCCGAATAAATTCGGGCATTCTCAGCTGCTCAAGGCCTAATCATACCTATTTAAGGCAACAATAATCACTAACTTAACAAATGAAAAACGCCTTCTTTCTCGTTCCCTAACAGATTTCAACGCAGTACCAGCTGGTCATTCCGAACTCAACTTTGGGCACAATGACGAATTTAGTTGAGCCGTCTCGGCAGTTTGATCTTGAAGGGGATGTCCTACTTACCCTTCATAGCCCGAACGCGCCGTTCGCCGTTTGGGATCGAAGCTGGCTCGAGAAAGATCATTCTTCTGTTCCAGAGCAGGATAATACTGAAACTTCGTGTCACACTTCGAGCCCTGACCTGTTAGAACAAGGATCTCCCGCATCAGAACAACTTCCCGACTCGACACACAAAGTACAATTTCTAGTCTCGTCGAAACATTTGCGCCTAGCCTCTAAATTCTTCAACGCCCTTTTTCGCAATTCATGGAAAGAAACAACATCGAAATCTCCAGATGGTCTCTGGTGCGTAGATGCTTGCGACTGGGACGAAGTGGCTATGACGAGACTTATGGCAGTCATCCACCATCAGAACCGCAAGCTTGATGAACGCATATCCGTTGAAGAACTCGCCAAGTTTGCCGTTGTCGTCGACTATTACAAATGTCACGAGGCAGTTCTGCCGTGGTCGGAGAAATGGATCAACAATCTATGGGATCCTACGAAGTGGGATTATCTTGATCGGGGCATCGACTTCTTCAGCTTCTTCGACTACGAGGACAAATTAACCTTATGGATTCTGATTAGCCAGGTATTCGAGAAAAAGGACATGTTCCGGGCGATAACACGGGTAGCCATGATACTATGCCGAGGGGAATTGCCAACTTTGGGATTGCCAATCGTGGCGACTGCGAGTAGGTAACCCGTTTAACCCCTAGACACCTAATACATCAGGTATGTGCAGAATTAGCTGATGGTTATATAGAAGCATTCGACGCGAAGAGAAAGGTATTCCTGGATCAGATGTTTAACTCCTTATACGGCCTTCTAGGTAGCTTACGCGATCGCAAGGCCGGGTGCACCCTTGAATGCTCGTCAATGTTGCTAGGCGCGCTGTGCATTGAATTGCATCGTATAGGAATCATGGATGATCAATGGCGTCTCTTGGGTTATCCATATGCCGGACAGAGCGTGCAATCGACAATTTCGCTGATTGCGTTCTTTACTATGCCTAAATGCATGCATGCCCCTTTAAAAACAGCGCATGCATGCCAACTGGTACGTGGTATCGCCTTGGACGTGAAAAAGATCGAAGGTCTTGAGCTGCATAACATCATAAGGTTAGATGCACAGGATTAGTTGATGATAGGAGACAAACCGTTCTATAGATGGGCCTCAGTGTTGACATATATATGGAACGATGTTCGTGTAAGATATCCAGGTACCTAGGGTAGCTGTGTAATATAAGTCAGAGGGCAATTTTACGAACTTCACAAGAACTTTGAATGCATACGAGTTGGGCCTGAAATCTTGGTTGGATCCTCCTCCTCCTCCTGCTGCTGCTATATGATATCAATCTCCTGTCTGATACTCATCTTTTAAACCTGAAATACACGCATAGAGATTATCTTTGTTGAAACCCTATTCCATATTAGTACATGACAGCATCACCCATATCCTCCCAAAATCGTCCTTTGAACAATCCACTTACACGTGCAGATAATTAATGTATCGGATGCTCGCTATTTCGGACGTATAACCACTTGTAAGACTGGACTATCACCCTCAACTGTGTTGCCCCATCTCCCATCTCTCACCTCCCACCCACCATCCACGTAAATTAACCTCTAAACCAAAACGACAACGACACGACACGACACAATCACCTCCGGCCCGGCAAGCCCGGCACGCCGACGTACCTCTCCTCCCGCTCCGTCAGGAACATGACCTGGACCCAGAACTCCTTGAGGTCGGCGTCCCACCAGGTCCAGTACCTGTCGGCCGAGCGGTCGATCTCGCGCGCCTGGAGCTTGAAGCCGCACGTCTCGTACGGCTCCGCCGCCACCAGCATGTACTGGTAGTTCTTGTCGGGCGGCTCCTCCACCCGCTGCTCGAACGCGCTCATAAACCGCACCTTGGGCGTCGCCTCCCCCCCGATCTCCGGGTACTGCAGCTGGAACAGGAGCCCCTGCTGCCGCGTCACCTGGTCCCGCACCTTCGTAATCTTGTACCCCGGGCGCCCGATCTTCACCACGTTGCGGCGCACCATCGCGCCCGCGCCGAACCCGGCGCCCACCACGCCCACGGGCAGGCCCGTGTTCGGGTCGATGGGCCCGCCCTTGCCTTCCTTCTGCTCGCGCGCCGCGCGCCGCGCCAGGTTCGTCTGGTGCTTCTTGCCCTGGGTGTGGGCCAGGTACGAGCCGTCGTTCTGGTGCACCGTCAGGCACAGTCGGCACTCGAACGAGCCCACGTGGTTCTTGAAGAAGTACGGGTCCTTGTCCAGGTCGATCGTCTCCAGCGCCAGCTTCCGCAGCCGCTCCCGCCGGTCCGCGTTCGTCGCGCTGTGCGACGCCACGCCGCCGCCCCCGAACTTGGAGCCCGCCCGGTTCTGGTAATCCATCCTGAACAACGGAAACGGAAACGGAACTGATCGTGATCGTCTTCCTGCGCGTTGTTTTGTTTTTGTTTTTTATCCGTTTGTTGATGGAGCGCGTTGGTTTGGATGGGGAATCGATTTGGCGTTGATAAATAGGTGTTAGAAGAGAAGGCGTGGAGTTGGGAATTGTAAGTGAGAGAAGCTTGTGATTGATTGATTGGCACTGCTAAGCTAAGAAGCTAGGGAGATAAGATAAGGATTGCCACCGATTGCTGAGTAAGCTGAACTTACCTAACCTAAGGTAAGTTTACCCCTTTTTATTATCTTCGAGACGTCTGAGAAGTAAGAATTTGTATAACAAACAGTACCTACGAATCTATTTACAACAATTACCATTTCACATTAAATTTCATGGTCTACTACACTCACGGCTCGGATTAGATAAATTAATAGCGTGGTTTACTGCCATACCATCAGGTTGGCCACACGTCAAAAACATCGCGGAATGCAAAAACAATATCATCTCACGGTTTACTAGGTGGCCAGGGATATTAACATGATCAAGACCACCATGTCTTCATTTCAGTCATTTCAGAAATTTCACTTTCTATTCTTTTTTTTTTCTGATACGAGACTACCAGGTCTCTCACCGCATCATTATTTCCTGGATCTAGGGATATGCCAGACAAATTACTGGCTCAGAGCCACGTCCCCTCCCCCCTCTTCGAAGTCCAAATTCTCTATTGTCCTAATTTCAGCTCTTGAGAATTACAAGCCAAGAAAGCTTGGAAAGGGCCGAATAGTTGTGACTAGTAAACAATCTTGAACGCTTAACGGAAGTTGTTATCGAACCGCTTGAACGTGTACCCGATGAACGGTAAGCTCATCTCAGGCGACTCCTCCACTTGTTTGCCAACTGCCATGGCTTGGTTTCTCAAAGCCGTGGCATTATCTGTTTGGTCAATCTCGTCAGTTGGGAAATACGTTGTGTCGATAGCAGATGTAAGACGAGGTTCGAAGGGAGCCCGGATGCGTCGAAGACTGTCGAATTCAACACCGCGGAAGAAGGCATGGTTCTTGATTTCCTGAGCACCACCCCTTCCGAGTCGCACCTCGGTGTTGCAGATGAGACTGTTACACGTATTAGCTTCAAGTAAAATCAGTAATGTATTACCAAACGTACCTTCGGATCAGGTGCTCGGCTTCAGCACCAAGAGTGATATCGTCTGGGAAGTAAAGCGATTGTCTCCAGTTGACAATCTTCCGGTACGTGTCGTGGCTGTCTTCAGCGCAGAAGGGCGGCCAGCCGACAAGACACTCGAACATGATAGTACCTAACGACCACCAATCGCAGTCGAATGTGTAGCCGTGTCCTGTGAAGATTTCGGGGGCGATATAATCGGGGGTTCCCACGGTGGAGTACGCCATCAATCGTCGAGACTTCCTCCAATCGTTTATTTGGGAACGGTTGCTGACCGTCAAGTTAATCTGATCAAGAGCAACCGAGTTCCGATCCTTAGGCCGACTAGATTTACCCTGCAGGAGCTGTTGGTAGTAATTGTTGTCGTGAAGTTTGTGGAAACCCGTGGATAGACCAAAATCGGTAAGCTTGACGTGCCCGCCTCGGTCGAGAAGAATATTATCAGGCTTGATATCACTTTTTACGTCTAGTTAGCAACGGAATAATCCATCAACAACAAAGGGTAGAGAGTCGTAATCATACCGGTGAATGAAACCAAGCTTGTGAACAGCCTCGATAGCTAGCACGATCTCGGCGATATAGAACCGTGTAATGTCTTCGGAAAAGATTTCGTACTTGATGAGCATCGTCATTAAATCTCCACCAGGCAAGAACTCCATGAGCATATAGAGGAAGTTGGCATCTTGAAACGTCGTGAAGAGCTTAACAACCCAAGGGCTGTCCGACTCGGCTAAGATATCTCTCTCAGCTCGAACGTGGGCTAATTGGTCCTTTTTGAACATTTCGGTTTTGATGAGGGACTTCATAGCGTAGACCTGACCGTCGGCTTTCTTCTGCACCAGCTTAACTTCTCCGAAGGCACCCTTTCCGATGATCTTAACGGTAGTATAGTTTTCTGGCTTATCCTTCGTTCGCAGGAATCGCAGATAGCGCGCTTCCTTCTTGCCGCCGTTTTGCCAAATTTGCTCGCGCCTCGACGAGGATTGGTTAGGTTCCGAGAGTTTCTGTTCCAAGTCGTTCTGTCTGTTCGTTATTGAGCAGTTAGCATCGTCTTCCAATATTACCAATATCTCATCTTCTTAAACCTGGATAATAATGGCATACCGCAGATTGCGCTCGCGAGCGCGCTTGACGCTATCCTTGAAGAAATCGGCGGCTAGTTGCGAGCACTTCTTCTGGTTGTTGTTCGCGTTGATACCATATTTCTCGGGGTTTCGTTCGGGTGCGGGTTGGAAGTCGGACTGACGAGAACCTTGGCCAGGCATGGGAGAAGCGTTCGCATGGCTATAGCCAGGTTGCTGGCCAGACGAGCCTGCAGTTCGAGGTCGTTGACCTGGGGAAGGGCCTCGCGATCCATAAGCACTACCTCGACCAGCACCACCTAGATTCTGATGGGAGAACTGGTGAGCTAAGCCGACATTGGGGTCATTAGTACCCGGAGTGTTGGATCGAGGTTGGTATGCTCCAGCTTGAGCGTTACCGTAGTCGGCGGGGGCTTGATACGGGTTGGGCGCAAAGTAGCTGCCCTGGGGAGCATATCCACCACCATATTGCTGAGAGGCGGATTGTTGGGCAGCAAGATGCTGTTGCGAAGGCGTCTGGAAGATAGGTTGAGGGAAGGTCGAGGGTGTGGTAGGGTATTGGCGATCTGAAGGACCACCAAGCCGGTCGTTACCGTTGAAGTTAAGATAGAGACGATTATTAGGATCCATCTTGGTTGCGATTTAAACCTTGGGTTTATCGGGTACTTCTAACAAAAAAAGCAGTATTCGTTGGGCAATCTTTCTAGTAAATTATTTAAGCTGGAGTGAGTGGAGATAGAGGTAACGAGTAGAAGTCGGGCCTTTCGTAACTTGTCTTGGAATAATTATTGGGTTTAGAACAGTTCCAACACTTGGAGCATAGAATTGGTTGAATACTAAGTTGTTGGATCGCTAGATTGGTGACAACTATGCTGTTGTTGTTGTCGTTGTGGTCGTTGTGGTTTTGTGGTGGTTGCAGTTGTGGGTAGCTAGATCTTCATTGGTCCCCCTTAAATATCGAATTCACCGCAACGCTGATCTATGTCTCAGGAAAGCGACTGTTTTGGATCGAGGAGGTGAAGACAAAAAGTAAATAAAATAAAATAAATAAAATAAAATAGAGCCTAATTCGTGTTGCGGCTCGTAACGATTGATAGCTACTTCAAGCGATCGATAAGTGCGCCGCAGTTCGATAGGAGGGGTTATTACCACAACCTCGAATTTCTTAGGTTTGTACACACACTCTCTCTCCTTTTCTCATAAAAACAAAGAGATCCCCCATATACAGCTTGAACGATGAACGATGAACTTGGCTTCCTGACCCGGTAAGGAATGGAAGGTAAAAGAGAGTGTGCGAGGGGGGGATTTTTCAGAACTATATGAAGTTGTCTGGATGGATCCCAACCCTCGAATGGAATAATGGAATAAAATGCTACTGGTCAAGGTTATTCCCTAAAGAGGACGGTAAGTGGGTGCGACGAAGCCCCTGAAAACACTCGCCAGCACGCCAACCGCCTGGGGAGGGGCGCTATGGACAACCGATTAGCCATTCTTGGATGTAGCGTGCCAAGACCCCGGGCCCTCCCATGTCAGACCCAGTAGACTTAGGGTGCTTCGTTTGATAGTTAAAGTACTGTTCAGATGCATATTTGTGAACGGTTTATGCAGGTAGCCGCTCCAACCCACGCATTATGGTGGTGGTGATTGCATGTGAGTTGTCGAGCAAACACTCGAAACACTCGAAACTCAACCTTGATTTTTTTATTTACCTATTTTTTAATATTGGGTACCCGACGCACATACGGCCCATAACTCATTCATGCAATGCATGTTTAAAAAGACGACAATGATATATCTAACTACATTTGTTTATTCTTCTTACGGTCTACGACTTTATTACATAACGAGAATAACTAATACATTTTTTGAGAAAGGGCTCGAAAATATCTATAATAAGCTTGAAGATGGCTTACGTTGGACTTTATATCAGATAAGGGAGTAAGGATAGGTAATAAAATAGAGCAATAAGGAGGCACCGCGTAACGGTCTTAACACACTCAACTAATTTACTTGGCAGGGAGACCTGGGCAATAATCTAACCCTTCATATTTCTGAACATTGTCACAAATCATTCGAATTTTTTCGCTATGGCCTCTAGAAAAGGTCCCGGCACTTTAAGACGTGAGAGATTGCTCAAGGATAATTACCTGTCTGCACCTATAGGTTGGTAGCTATTATTCGGAATTTTAACCCATCAAATGATCAATCCCCATCAACGGTACCTAGGTATTAAGCACTAAAAATGTCCGCTACAAATAAGCTCATCTGATTGGCTAGACATGCCTAAACCGGTAAGTTGGACGTGGGGTTTTTAGCGATAGGAGCTACATAGATCCGATCCCGTCGAAATTTTGTTATCGGATTGCATCTGATGAACGTCCTAAAAGTCCTAAGATTTCCTTGAGCTTGCTTATAAGAGAAATCAAGAGAAATCCGAGGATATTTCGCTATGGCGGACCAAAATCCAACCGCCCAAGGTGCTACTTCGGCGTCAGCTTCGTCCGTAAGTTTGAGTCCAAAGAACTAAACTAAACGACTTATTGTTATATTAACCATGCGACAGGCGACTGCGACTGCGACTGCGACAAGCTCCGGGGCAACTTACAAAGCCCCGACACCGAATCCAGCTCTCCGCATGATGGGAATCCCCGGGCTACCTAAGAAGCTCCCGTCTCGGAATTGGATGATATTTTTTGCCATTACCGGTTCCTTCTCAGCTGCTATAATATACGACAAGCGTGAGAAGAAGCGCGCAACTGCTCGGTGGTCTAAAGCTGTCTCCCCCCTCGCGCGCGAGCCTATTACAAACCCGACGCAATTACCTCGAAAACTCACCATCTTCCTCGAGTCTCCCCCAGGTGACGGTCTTCGCGTCGCACAGGATCACTTTACCGAATATGTAAAGCCGATATTGGCCGCGTCGGGATTGGACTGGGAATTCGTACAAGGCAGGAAAGAGGGCGATATCAGAGCTGCGGTGGCTGAGAGGATACGGCGGACAAGACAACCGGAAACAGAAGCTAAGACCCAGGAGGAGATAGTGCGAGAGATAAGAAAGAAGAATGGGACTCCCGAATACCAGGGTGTTCGAGGCGATATCGTGATTGGGAGACATACGTGGAAGGAGTACGTTCGGGGCATACACGAGGGCTGGTTAGGACCTCTCACTCCGCCCGTATTACCAGAGCCCGAAGTGAAGAAAGTTGAAGAGACGACATCCACAGAGGGAAGTGAAGGGGAGAAGCAAGAACCGAAGCCTGAGGAGAAACCTCAAGAGAAGCCTGAAAGACCACCGCAACCACCACCACATAACACCACGAACGACTACCCCACATCCTCTCTCCCCATGCTTATCCCCGCCGAGTTTTCTCCCTCCGCGCCCATACCATTCCCCCACATTCTCGGCTTTTCCAATACCTTTATACGTTTACGACGTTTCCTCAACCGTCGGTATCTAGCCGACGACATAGGCCGCGAAGTTGCAGCCGCATGCTTCGCGACGGCGCGCGAGTACCACGATGACGCGGACCTCACACGGTCCGAGCAGCAGACGGTCCTCGAACACGAGGAGAGGGATTGGCCCAAGGCTGTATGGAAAGAAGACGACAAACCCAAGGAGGGCGAGAAGGATGTCCCCGCCGCCCCCAAGGAAAAGATCTGGGCGAACCCTATAGTAATGGATCCGCGGATCGCGATGCGCATGCGTCGATTCGAGATCCAGCCCGAGGAGGAGGCCCGCGCCAAGGAAATCAAGGTCCCCGAAGAGGAGATAGAGGGTTGGATCAAGGGCAGTCTCCGAAGTCTGTATCGCTGGGCTATCTCGAAACCCGAACCTAATCCCTCGTGGCCTGACGAGTGAGCGTCGACTTATCAATTAGCCTATCTACCTAGATACCTAACCATACGATACTTCACTAGCCACCGGGGAGTCGAATGTAAAATATAATATTGTGCATAGAAGGGATACCAACATCATCGTGCACTGCCGGTCGGCATACGGCTTTGCCTGTATTAACATGCCGCAGCACATTGGGAGTCTGCATTACATTACATACATTTGTATAGAGGGTATCGGTGGTGATGAAGGGGCAATGCCAGGATGTGTGATGCCGTGCATGGAAAGTATTATACGACGACTATGTGATTATGTATTAAAATAAAAATAAAAATAAAAATCACAACTCTATTTCCAGGGAGCCATTTTCCTGTTGATATATATTTGCCTCCGTATTGTCATATTTATACATGTTTCGTATAGAAGCCATTCTAGACTCTTTCTATTTGTCAGATTGGTGTTTGTGTTGTGTGCTATGTGCTGCTACTGTAATTGTAAGTCTCGGTACCAGATACTCAGCAGCTTGGTGGTTAATCTGATGCTTCTTACCCCTGACTTCCAAACCTACTCGTAATAAGACATGTTCGAACATTTATTTCATCAGCTGCTAGTTTCAAGCCCCCAACACGCAGATCGAAATTGAAACTCCGAGGACTCTAGTAACGGTAAAGAAACAGGTATCATACCTTATATATTAACAACAAGAAGCCCCAATCGAGATACATTAATCATCATCATCCTCGTCAGAGCCATAATCCACCAGACCGAATTTTGATTTTGGCTTTGGGTTCTCCTGGACTTTCTTCTCCTCTGCGGGCTTGGCCTGATCCTTCACAACTGAAGGCTTCGCATCGGTGTTTGTCGTAACATCTGCCGCTATAGGCTTCGACTCTGGCCCCGTCTTAGCCTTCTGCACTTCTGACGTCGTATCCGAAGTCTTTTCTCCCCCCGACTCATGAGCTTCCTTCTCCGACCTGCTTGGCCTCCTCTTCACGCCTTTGACAATGCTCTTCGCCTCCTTGTCCGATCTCTTGCGCTTCTTACCTACGCCGACCCACTCCCCGACACCACCAACACCACCGCCATCGCCATTATCTTCGCGCGCAACGTCTCCCCCACCATCGTCGACAGCAGCAGCAGCAGCATTTCCGGTAGCTTTCTGAGCCTGTCGGAAGCTCGCGAGTCTCTCCTCCGTCTCGCGCCTCACTCTCTCCTCCTCGACCCGCCGCTCGTCGCGCACGCCCTCCAGGAAATCGATCTCGTCGTCGTCCAGAGCCCGGAACTGGTTGCTTATGCGGGTCTTTTCCTCGAAGGCCGCCTGCTTGGCCGCTGTCATCCCGGTTCTTTATTTCAGCACGCTCATTCTCATACTCTTGTCTCCGACTCTCTCTCTCTTACACCCCTTACAATTCCACGATCAAACTCATTCATTTCATAGAAAACCCAAGAGACACGTGACGTGGCAGAAAAAAATATATCAAATAGGAGAGGAAAAGAAAAGAAAGGAAGAAGACAAAATAAATGAATGAACACGCAAGCTTCCTCTCACCTTTATTAGCCTGCAAAACATCATACAAGCTCCTCCCCTCGCCCGCCCCCGACCCCCCTTCGATCTGCGCCCTCCGCGCCTCCTCGCGCCTGCGGCGGTCGGCCTCGAGGTCGCGTTGCACGGCCTCCCACTCGGCGTTCCGCCTGGCCGCTTCCTTGTCCCACTCGCGGTCCCGGTCCCGCGTCACACCCGTGGATGCGGGAGAAGAAGTAGGGATGGAAGTAGATTGCTGTGGTGGTACGGTACCACTGCCGCTGCTATTGCCGCTGTCTCCAGTGCTGCCGCTGTCGCCGGCGATCGTCCCCCCGGACACGAAGCGCGAGGTCATGTGTTTTAAGTGGGTATGTGCGTACAGTGCAAGTACCTAAGGAGGTAAATAGAGAAGAATTGAGAGATGGCAGGTTTAGGTAGGTACTTAATTATTTGAAAAAATTAGAAAGTAGATCATTAAGGGGAGTTGATTCCTTATTTAAAAAGAAAGAAATATTTAGAAGACGTTCCTTCTATTCAGGCGTAACAATTCGAGTCGCGTTTCGTACTCCAGCAAGATTACCTCACACAAAAATGTACCTCCTTAGAGGTACGTATGTATGTACCGAGGTAGATATATACAGAAGATACATCGGTACGTGGGGGACGCAAGTCCTTATCGATAAGCCCTAGACCTACACAATTCAACCTTGTCGTCAAGTTCAATATAAAAGCCATAACAACCCACCGTTCAAGCACATACGACCATAGGATCTGGAGAACTCGGGATCCCGTCTGCTCTCCCCTTCGATAAGCCGGATACCGCTGGATCAGTAGTCGGGTCGGTGACGACCGGCGAATCCCCAGTGTTGTATGTTTTCTCTTTTTTTTTTTTCTTTTTTTTCGTTTTGTTTTTTCGTCTCTTTTCTTTTTGGACCTATATCTAGGTCAGTAGATGTAAAGTTATGTCGATATATGTATTATGGTCTGATAAAACTGCTTCTAGTCAAGTACGAGTGGTAGCTTTATGTAAGAACGAATAGTCTACGTAATGGATAAGAAACACTTTACAAAAGTTTCAACTTCACATTTCAACTGAGTTAGGTAAGTACCTTAGGTAGACCTCTTAATTGTACGGATTATACAAATTCAAGATTGATAAAAAATACAAATAGTAAAATAGCGGGTATCTAAATAGGTAATGAAGATATAATCACAGGAAATACCCTAGGGTATCCATATCTTCGTCAAGTTTGCAGTTTAATATTTTTAATCTAGGTGTATCAAATGTATGTAGCAACAAGCCGAGAAAAAAAAAAGCCTCGATGGGCCGTCAGTCACAGCGCCTCGTCGCTTATATCGCGAGTACGCCTATGGCCGTGCAACTTCACAACAGCCAAACCTTACCATCCGGGGCTGTCTGTGCCAAGTATCGCGAACAACCTCCTTTAAACCCCAAGCCCTCAGTCCTTACCCCCTTCACCTAGCACTCCACCTAGGCCCCAAATCATGGTAATCATGGAAAAGAATTTAACCGATAACCCATCTCAAAGAGGTAAGAATAATAGTAATGCGGAAGACCAGAGAGTATCAAGATCGACCGATCGATAGTCTCATACTCATGATTCCCTCCCACCACCTATTCAAATGAGTGGTGAATCCGACACCTAGACACAGTAGATGCTACAGGCCAGGATCGTCGAATACTCGGCAGTAATGAGTCAATCAGGACAAGGGTAAAGTTGTCCGTGTCTCGCAAGAGCCGCCAGGCGCTTACTCCAAGATGGTGATTCACCTCGAGTTAAAAGGGGAGAAAACAAATAGTACAGCCCAATTTTTTTATCCCATTCCCTCGATGCTGTGTCCTTACAGCTGGGCCGATGGCCCATTTTTTCTTTATTTGAACCCGGAAAGAAAAGAACCAGAAAAGGAAAAGAAAAAGAAAAAAACGTATCATATGAGCCTCCCTCCCCGCAACATACTGAAAGATATCTTCTGGTCTATGTGCTGAACAGCTGTTGCATAGACAGTAGGAATCCCCCGCAGCATCCGAGATATCGACAGGACTGCTCAAAAGGAGCCCAGGCTGATCAGCTGCACCAGCCTCGAGCAAATAATCGTGAGTTTGAATTAACGTAAGAATCGTGAGTGAACCGTAGACAAAGGAACAGGAAACCCAGTCCGACTCTGGAGGTAAATGAATTACGGTTGACCGACAGCCAACCTACCCCACAAAGTAAAGAGGGTTACCGACGAAAGTGAGATCTATCGCCAGGAATAAGACGCAAAGGTATAGATGAGCGATAGGACGATAAGGCTGGTTGGGTAGTCCATCTCTTTATTTTAAAACGCCAAAATAGAACCTTGACTTTTTTGCCGCCGCCGGTATAGAAATGCGAACCCGAAGGTAATATGCGATAATCTATTGCAAGTGAGAAAAGAAATTCCGAGCCATCCCAACAAACCAAAACCAATTAACGCCATTATAATTATCGATGCGGAAACGTCGTAATAAAAGAAAAGGAGAAACCCCTATCGAGACGGAGGAAACGCCCACTGCATATGGGGATTCGGGACTCGAATTTAAGGTATCGAATCGACAGAATCGAATACTTTCGCAACAACGGCACGACCGGACGAATGCCGAGCCATGCGAGAAACCCCAAAATCGATTCGATGACCCCGCACTACCCAAACCATCCCACAACAAGGACTAAAACCTTACGCCAGTGTATAGGAGACTCCGAGGGTATCTGAGTAACAAATTTATGTGCCTGAACATGCCTGAGAACGATGCCAGAGTAGACATTAGTGCAAGTATTCCCCATATCATAAAACCCCGGCTGAGCACAAAAGGATCAGCCTCATCCAAACCCGGCGTCGATGATACAATAGAACGTGTCTTCGTAAAATCGGGCCTAACCCATCACCGTCTGAGTATAACTGTGCTGTTGCATGTAAGGAGCCGCGCCATGACGCTGAGCCCGGCAGTGGGTACAACACTCAGGGAAGCTCGGATCCCAAGGAGCAGCACCATATTGCGAACAGAAGTGATGGGCAAATTGAGACCCGCTTCGGGATCCGTATCCGTTGTGGCCAGGTGGGCCAGGTGGCTTGTAGTGTCTGTTATAGCCCCCATTAACAGCTTGGGAGAACCAATCATCATAAGAGGAATTCAGTGAAGCAGCCGAGTTGAGATACTCTGGGGTTCCGTAGCCAGAATCTGGAGGAGTAACAGGAGCTTGAGGCTGTGACCAAGGGTTGGAATATTGGCTTTGCCAAGACCCTTCGCGGCATCGATAACCGCCGGTCCCAACATGTGCGAGCCTTGGATTCATGTTGAAATGTTCCTGCTCGGGAATCTCCGGAGTCCAGCCCTGTAGGGCATGATGAGGCTGACGCACTGGCTCCGCGTGAAGAGCAGTAACAATAGGTGCTAACCTCTCGCGGATAGCAACGTGAGACTGTTGCTGTTTCTGCTGTTGTTGCTGCTGGACCTGGTGGAATTTCTTGGCACCCTCCCATTCTTTCCAGCTCTTAAGCCAAGCGTTGTAGTCGTGGCTCTGATCAAGATTGACATACAACGACCAGCCGATATGTTTCAACCACTCATTTTCCATAGTGTTGAGTTCTGCCACATCAATGCCACTAACGTCGGACCATGATCGGTTCTGGAAGGTGTTGTCGTCGAGGAATTTGCTGCCAAGGAGAAGAGCAATGGTAAGCATTTTCCACATCTGACCCTCATTCGGACTGAATGAGCCAATCTGGTTGAGCATGTTGACTCGTTTGGCCAGGTAGTTCATTCCGAGGAGAATGGTGGTGCTCGGGAGTCGCGTAGAAGTAAGAATCTGGTTCACAAACTTCCGAAATGCAAGAGAGACTGATGACTTGGGGAGAACAACTCGCACTGTCATATCAGCTACATACTCTGCCATCAATTCGGTCTCGTAATCGAGAACCGCGCAGACGCCGCCCGGCATGATGGTGGTTGTGTATAAGATCCCCGTCAAAGATCAAGGATCGACCTTTGCCGGAGTAAGTTTCTGCTTCAAGCACGTGGAGTTGGCTCAGCTGGGCGGAAAAATCACAACACAACTGGCTTGAATATCCAAGGCCGAAGAGATAGAAAATGTTGAAAAAAAAGAAAGAAAGGTTGTCGAGAACCTTATTGAGACACGCAAGCCATTAAGCGGTTGTGCCTATTTGAACAGTGCAAGTCTCAAGCTCAATCGAGAGTCGGCTAATGAAAAGTTCGCCCCAGTAGGAAGCGGATCTAACTTGACAGGTTGGAAAAGGTAACCAGATATACTCTGTCGAGGTAGGTCGAGGGAAACGGCGAGAGACGAAATCGTACTCGAGTAAGAAATATGCGCAAGCCGTAGAGGAAGGAAAAGGATCAGTGAAGACCTTTTAAATCTGCATTGACTGGTATTAGTATGTTGACAATGAATTGAAGCAGATAAAAACAAATCTTCTTTCAATGTTTTTGTTCTGATATTTTCTGAGCTAGTCGTGCGCACGTAGTTTGAGCGTTTAAGCGGAGTTGCGACGAGGAACAAGATCTGGTAATAGGGTCGAATGTGGCAATAGCATCAAGGCTTTCTTTGAACTTTTGTTCGAGGTTAAAGTTCAACCAGAAACAAGCTTATGATGCGTTGGAATTAAATAGACGTGGGTGTGAGACTGAAGTTGAACAGTTCGAGTAATAGTTCAAGTAACTCCGGTTTGTATCGGTATCCCAAAGTGCACAAGTTGTGATGGTGGCAGTGATGGAATATGGGTAACAATTTAAAGAAATCGTAAAATGATTCAAGAAATAATAGGCGTTCAAAGAGATCTGTATACTTGCCTAATATGAAGGATATTGGTTAGTGGTGATGAAGACGCTTCCAAGATTCGGCAACCAGATCATTCGCGAAAGGGCGATATGCGAATCCAGTCGAGCCGTATCTAGTTGGTTGTGGTGTTCGTGTTGAAAGGCAAAGGATAACCGTCGCGGTCTTGAATTTGGTTCACTTCTGAGCGCGTAGAATGGATGAAAGACGCTTATTCAGGTCGACGAAGTTAATTTAAACAAGACCAATTGTGTTGCTTTCCAGCTCGAGCACCTTCTCCTGCACAACAAAGTACAACTTCGTTATGCCTCTCTCTTTTTCTTAAGGTTCCAATATGTCGTCGTAGCAACCTGAATCCTGACGTTGACAGCTCCGAGAATCGAGAATCGAAAATCGAAATATCGGTCGAAGTCGAGTAGATTGGCGGGCGGCGGGATTGCAAGGTGTAAGAGGAAAAAAGGAAAAGAAAGAAAAAGAGGGAGACGGAGGTAGAAGCGGCAAAGTGATGGGTTGAGGCGGAAGAGGTTTGGGGAGGTAGAAAGGATTGGGGAAGGATGGGGAATAATGAGAGGTGATGATGTTGATGGAACTTGGGCCTAGAAGAAAAAAAAAAAAAAACCGAGATTCAAACCCACACACACAGACACACTAGGCCAATTCTCACACAAAGTCAAGGAAACCCCATAGTAACTTGCAATGTCCCCAGTTAAGAAAAAAAAAATAACAATCGACCAACCAGTCTCCGCGCAAATCTAAGTGGAACCAGAGTTTCTTTGACCGCTAGCGCTTTTCCTACAGTACCCAGCTTGCTACATTAGATCCGCTAGCCTAGGTGGTCTGGGTGGTGCACTGGAGGAGCACTGTAAAAGAAAACTGGAAGCGGCCAGCGCGCAGGCGCAGGAAAAAAAAATCGAGAGGCAAGTTGGCCACTGAAAGAACAGTGGAAACAAGGGGGGTCGGCTACGTTACAGCGATTGGGCAGTGAATGGATCGAACTAGGAAGAAGCGGTGGTCCAGGTTCTTCCGGTGGATCCGCCACCTGGAATCTCCAGGGCTAGCACTGTTCAGGCAACTGCTAGTCAAAAGTCTACCTCATGTAAGGACACGGGCTTGGGTTGTTGTACCCAAGTACCCCCTACCTGCGTACCAAAATGGAAGCGTGTATCCATGTACCTTCGTACTCTGAAGTGATGTCCCGGCAGGACCTCAGCTTTGGGAAATGGTGTGTCCGTAAAAAGACACTAGTGTACTTAGATACATAGTATATACACCAATACGCTAAAAATGCTTCGCACCACATATCCCGGCATCTTCAAACTTGCAAAAGAAAATAGAATAAAAACAAAAACAAAAAAAAAGCCATTCATTTACCTGTCCGCCCAGAAATGACATTGGATAAAAAGTACAAACCCGTTAAGACTTATCGACACTTCCACAGGTATATATGTGTTGCTTGGTTTTTCTTTTCTTCCAATTTTGAAAACAGGAAAAAAAAACCTTTACTATCACACTGACTGAACTCAAATACGTGTAGCGCGAAAATCTGTTGCTAAAGATCAAGGGTCCTACCTATTTTAGTTACGCCGTTAGTGTCACTCGAGTTTTTCCGTTACTTATTCTCAAAGCGGCGTAGGAAAAGCATTTCTCTCCTCTGCAAACTAGCAGAAAACATTTTCCATAATCCGACCATCAGACAGTAACAGTTACTACTTGTGTCTCGGTCCATTATTATCGGTAAACTTACTCGTATATATGTGCTTGGTTCGGTAAGTGTTAAAAAAAATTACAGATGTGCGGATTCGTACTGGTGAACCGCTCGCCCCTCTCCCCCCAAAACCCCATACCGCTAATTCTTTGTTTTTAACTCAGCAAACTGCTTCAAGCTAAGGCTACGTAACGATTAAGTATCTCCTCTCGATACTGTGGAGGAATCATACGAAAAAAAAAAGCAACTAGCCAAGGTGAGTAAGCGGCGGCTTCATTCTTCCCTTTCACACGTGGAAAAGGCTTCACACGTTCATTACAAAGCAACAGCCGAGACTTGTCCGGTAAGACGCGTGACTTGAACGGACTTCGGGGGAAGATATCAGCCTCTGAAAGCGGAAAGTATTACTCTTTTTTTTTTCTAGGCAGGCGTCTTTTTAATCAATATCCATCCGGGACCCTGACTAGCTTGACCTTTGCTCATTTCGGAACTATCATCTCCTCCTTTGTTTCGACATGCGTTACATCACCCCATCTGGATAAAAGGTCAGTCTATTATCTAGTCAAAACGAGATTATTGCCCTCGCATGTGTGATGTTGAGCTACACCATACTCGGTCCTGCTGTTCCCGTACAAGCGGTGGAACAGAAATCGCGTCTTCGGTTTTTTACGGTATTGCGATTTCTCAATGCAACAGACCACTCTCAAGTGTGGATGAAACCTCCATCGTCACTATATGCTGTCGCATCCGAGTGAATTGTCAGGGCGATCCGGTCAGCAAAGACTTACCAGAGACCAGCAAGATTGAGAGTGTCTGATATGCAACGCATAGTACCAATCCATGTAAGTCAACGCGTAAACTAATGAGGGAAGCCACGCACGTGTTGACACCCATTTAAGAAACATGGAAGATCAAGGGTCCTAGGGGTGTTGCAACTCAGATGTAGATGTGCCCAGTGACCAGTCAACCAGTCAACCAGTCGGTGCAATCCATACCTTAGGTACTTAACCTATGACCTAGGTAGCCCCTTTGCTTGGGATAGCATAATATAAATCCTGTAGATGCAGATAGGTATTGAGGTCGGGAGTGATGTATAACAATAACACACGTAAGATTTATAACAAATGGGCGGCTACTAATAACTGTTGAAAGCTACAAAACGATACTGTATTGTACATTATAGAAACATGCCTACACCGAATTCCGAGGCCAATAAATTTTCAAAGACAGTACCTAACCTAGAGACAACAGGTAGATACCAAAAACCAAAGAACGTATCATTGGACTTGTAACTTCTGTGGAAGATGAACGCGTCTTAAGATTACTTAAGGAGGTACTCATGTACCGGTAGTATTCAGGTACCAATCCGATAATCTCAAGAAGGACAAACCTAATGACCCCGTCAAGAATTAACCTATCAGAGCTAAAGGATTCATAAGGAATAGTGGATTCTTAAGATTTTTAAGATTTTAAGATAAATCTACACCCCTCTTTTCTCTCTCGGTCCTTTTACGCTAACCCCTCTAGCCCCTACAATCTTTTGGTACTAGGTACAAAGAGTTAAATTGGTAATATTAAAGAAACTTGGAAAGTTCTGAGGGATTTTTTTTCTTCATTCTCAAACTGAGGCGTCGGTCTCGGCTCACAAGTTTCTCAAGTAGCGAATATCCACTCAGCGTATGATTGTTGCAGTAGCAAGCGCAAAGTCATATTACTACTATGTAAGTAGGTACCTTCTACTGAGCTGCTCGGTCGCTTTTACCAAAGAGAATCACGATTGGGAATTGGATTTCGATCCCAATTACTATCTACCTACCTAGGTTGGTATCCAAGAAATCCAGAACTATTGATCAACACTATATACTTCATATGCTTCATACATAGATCCACGCGTACAGGAGCAAAGGGGTTTTGCCTATATATACGTATATATCATTATTTATATATACCTACCTCACTTGGATATACGTCACCGCGACATGAATCATCCCAGGATGTACTTGACACATGCTGGCAGGTTGGCAGGCTGGATGGATGGAGCTGCAACAACGATGCCGAAAAGGCCCATGTAGCTGTTTGGATAATCCAAGAACAACCTAATGCAGCTTGCTATCAGAAATCGGCAACACCCTTCACAGCCCAGCCTCGCTAATGAGGTAATGAAAGGACTTGAGTTACTAACTATCTCGGTTATCGATCTAACCAATTACGTAGAGAATAAGACGTCAACAACCTGTCCTGAAGCCGATCACTTACCCTGCACCTGGCGAGACTTCGGATGTGGATTGATACTATGAATATCCCATAATGGACCCTTACTCCCCAATCTACCCATCCACTCGGCTGGCTAGGCGATCGAATCAGAGTATCGGACGTCTCAGAACACAAAACGGTCCTGTGCCACACTTGTACACATGTATCACGAATCTCCGCAGAATCT